TGTGTTGTCTCTCTCTGTCAAATAAATAAAATCTTAAAAAAAAAAAAGAAAAGAAAATATTTTTAAAAAAAGAATTTTTATGGGGCTTTATTACATAAATGTGATTGAATAAATCATTGACCACGTGGTTGAACTCACTCCAGCTCCCCTTCTCTCCCTGAAAGTTGGGTTGATATCACCTGGCTCAGCCCCATCCCTCTAGTCACATGGTTGGTATATCTGGCCTGACCAGTGCCCATCCTGAATCATCTCGGTATAAACTCAGGTGCCATCTATGAAGCAAGCCCACCATGAATAATGGATACATTCTTATTATTCTGGAAATTCCAAGGGTTTAGGGGTTAATTCTCAGAAACTGAGGACAAAGGCTAGACAATTTCTTTATTATACAACATCTTTTTATCATTCAAAATATCCTTCTTTGTATCTAGTGACCATTTTTGTGTTAGAGTCTATTTTTTTCTGATCCTAGTATAACCACTCTGGCTCTCCTCTGGTTACTGTTTGTAAGGCATATCTTTTTTTTTTTTTTTTTTTTCATCTTTGTATTTTGACTCTTTGGTCTTTGAATCTAAAGTGTGTGTCTTGGGGCGCCTGGGTGGCTCAGTTGGTTAAGCGACTGCTTTCGGCTCAGGTCATGATCCTGGAGTCTCGGGATCGAGTCCCGCATCAGGCTCCTTGCTCGGCAGGGAGTCTCCTTCGTCCTCTGACTCTATCCCCTCTCATATGTTCTGTCTCTCTCATTCTCTCTCTCTCAAATAAATAAAATCTTTAAAAAAAATAAATAAAGTGTGTGTCTTGTCACAGCATAAAGTTGGATCATGGATTTACATTTAATGTAATTACTGATTAGGTTGGATTTACACCTGTCATTTTGCTATTTATCATACGCCTTTTTTGTTCCTCTTTTCCTTCACTTCCTTTTCTGTTAAGTATTTCTAGTGTAACATTTTAATTCTCTCATCCTTACTATTGTACTTTGAGTTATTAGTTATTACTCTAGGGAATACAATTAACATCTTAACATTTAACAATCTAGTTTGGAATAATACCAACTTAATTTCAGTAGTGTACAAAACCTTTGTTCCTATTAAACTCCATTTCTTCCCCTTCCTTTGTGCTGTTATTATCATAATCTTTATACATGCATGCCCATCAAACAAATTTATAATTAGTGCTTTATCCATTTGTCTTTAAAATCAGACAGGAGAAGAAAAGAATTACAAACAAAAGTACATTTATGCTGTCTTGCATATTTACCTATGTAGTTATCTTTACCAGGCACTTTATTCATTCCTTCATGGGGATTCCAGTTACTGTCTAGTGACCTTTTATTTCAGCCTGAAAGACCCCCTTTTCTTTCTTGTAGGGCAGGTTTACTAGCAACAAATCCTCTCTGGTTGTGTTAGATCTAGGAATGTCTTAATTTCTCCTTCCTTTTTTTAAAAGATTTTATTGATTTATTTGGGAGAGAGAGAGAGCACAGAGGGAGAGGGAGAGGGATAAGCAGACTCCCCACTGAGCAGAGAGCCTGATGCAGGGCTCGATCCCAGGACCTGAGATCATGACCTGAGCTGAAGGCAGACGCTCAACTGACTGAGCCACCCAGGTGCCCTCTCCTTCATTTTTGAAGGATTATTGTGCTCAATATAGAATTCTTCGTTGGCAGGCTTTTTCTTTCATCACGTCTTCCATGGTTTCTGATAAAAAATTAGGTGTTAATCTCATGTCCTTCTCTCTTTCTGCTTTTATGACTCTCTTTCTCTTTGACTTTGATTATGATGTGTCTAGATGCACGTCTCTTTGAATTTATCCTACCTGGAGTTCTTTGTGTTTCTTGGATGTTTAATGTTTTTCATCAATTTGGGAAGTTTCCAGTGATTATTTCTTCAAATATCCTTTCTTCCTCTTTTTTTTCTCTCTTTTCCTTGTAGGACTCTCATTTTGCATATATTGATAGACTCAGTGGTGTCCTATGGGTCTCTGATGCTATTCATTTTTCTTCATTCTTTTTTCTTTCTGTTCATCAGACTAGATAATCTCAGCTGACCTATTTTCAAGTTCTCTGATTCTTTCTTCTGCCTCTTCAGATCTCCTGTTTAGTTTCTCTAGTGAATTTTTCATTTCAATTATTATACTTTCCAACTTCAAAATTTATTTTTGGTTCTTTATTAATATTTTTTATATGCTAAGACATTATTTTCATGCTTTCCTTTAGTTATTTAAACATGGATTTCTTTAGTTCTTTGAACAAAATAGTTGATTAAAAGTCTTTGTCTAGGGCACCTGGGTGGCTCAGTTGGTTAAGTGACTGCCTTCGGTTCAGGTCTTGATCCTGGAGTCCCTGGATCGAGTCCCGCATCGGGCTCCCTGCTCTGCAGGGAGTCTGCTTCTCCCTCCGACCCTCCCCCCTCTCATGTGCTCTCTCTCATTCTCTCTGTCTCAAATAAATAAATAAAATCTTTAAAAAAAAATAAAAGTCTTTGTCTAGTAAGTCCAGTGTCTGAGCATCTGCAGGGAGTATTTCCCTTTTTTTTTTTTTTTAAGATTTTATTTATTGAGAGAGCAGGAGAGAGAGAGTACCGAGGGAGAGGGAGAAGCAGCCTCCCTGCTGAGCAGGAAGCCTGATGCGGGGCTCAATCCCAGGACCCTGAGATCATGACCTGAGCTGAAGGCAGCTGCTTAACTGACTGAGCTACCCAAGCGCCCTGGGACAGTTTCTATTAACTGCTTTTTTTCCTGTGCATAGGTAATAGTTTATTGTTTCTTTTTTAAAAAAATATTTTATTTATTTATTTGAGAGAGAGAGCACAAGCAGGGGGAGGAGCAGAGGGAGAGGGAGAAAGAGGTTCCCTACTGAGCAGGAAGCCCAACATCGGGCTCAATCCCAGGACCCTGGCATCATGACCCAAGCAGAAGGCAGATGTTTAAATGACTGAGCCACCCAGGCGCCCCTACTTTCCTGTTTCTTTGCATTTCTAATAATGTTTTGTTGAAAACTTGACTTTTTTTTTTTTTTTTTTTTTCAGATTTTATTTATTTGATAGAGAGTGCGTGCATGCTCACAATCAGGGAGAGCGGCAGACAGAGGGAAAGGGAGAAGCAGTCTCCCGTGGAGCAGGGATCCTGATGCGGGGCTCAATACCAGGACCCTGGGATGATGACCTGAGCTGAGGGCAGACGCTTAATGGACTGAGCCATCCAGGCACCCCAAAACTTGACATTTTAAATAGCATAATCTAGGGGTGCCTGGGTGGCTCAGTTGGTTAAGCGACTGCCTTCGGCTCAGGTCATGATCCTGGAGTCCCTGGATCGAGTCCCACATCAGGCTCCCTGCTCAGCGAGGAGTCTGCTTCTCCCTCTGACCTTCCCCCTTCTCATGCTCTCTCTATCTCATTCTCTCTCTCAAATAAAAAAATAAAATCTTTAAAATAAATAAATAGCATAATCTGGCAATTCTGAAATCCTGTTGTTCCCCTCAGTAACTAGGTTTTGTGGTGGTTACTGTTTTTTGTTGTGGTGGTGGTACCTGTTCAGTTACCTTTCCTGAACTAGTTCTGTGATGTCTGTATTCTCTGTCCTCTGTGGCCACTAGAGTCTCTGCTTGGTTAGCTTTGTGATCAGCTAATTGTTGGATATCAATTTCCTCAATTCCAGGTATTTTTGAGGAGATTATATTAAATTTTTTTTTTTTAAGATTTTATTTGTTTTTTGACAGAGAGAGAGACAGCGAGAGAGGGAACACAAGCAGGGGGAGTGGGAGAGGGAGAAGCAGGCTTCCCACTGAGCAAGGAGCCCGATGTGGGGCTTGATCCCAGGACCCTGGGATCATGACCTGAGCTGAAGGCAGATGCTTAACGACTGAGCCACCCAGGTGCCCCGAGATTATATTAAATTTATATATAAATTCAGAACAACTGAAATTTTTATGCTTTTGAGTCATCCTAGTCATCCTGTCCAAGAACATGTGTATGTATGTACATATGTATATATAGAGAGAGAGATCAAATCTAGGTCAAAAATAAAAAACAAGTATAAAGGATATTTTGAGGAACATTTGGGGAAAATTGACTGTATATTAGATGATACTGAATTAATATTCTTATGTGTGATTATATTGTTTTTGTTACTTAGAATGTTCTCATTCATAGGAATGCATGCTAAAATATTTACGGGTAAAGTGCCATGATGCCTACATCATTTAGCAAAAAAAAAAAAAAAAGACACATCAAATGGAGGGGGAAAGTAGAGGGAGAGAAAGATAAAGCAAATGGTGAATCCAGATGAGTTGTGTATACTCATACTATTCTTTCAACTGTAGATTTGAAAATTATCAAAGAGGGGCTCCTGGGTGGCTCAGTTGGTTGAGTGTCCGACTCTTGGTACAGCTCAGGTCATGATCTCAGGGTCATGAAATTGAGCACCATGTTGGGCTCTGTGCTCAGCAGGGAGTCTGCTTGAGATTCTCTCTCCCTCTACCTCTGCCCCTCCCCCCAAATAAAAAAATAAATCTTTAAAACAAAAAAAGAAAAGAAAATTGTCAAAGAAAAAAGAATGGGATAAACATGAGCCCTAGCTTCAAGGGTATCTCACTGCCTCCTAAGCTATTGTTTCTTTTTTTTTTTTTTAAGATTTTATTTATTTATTTGACACAGAGAGGCCTCAAGAGAGGGAACACAAGCAGGGAGGGTGGGAGAGGGAGAAGCAGACTCCCCGCTGAGCAGGGAGCCCCATGTGGGGCTTGATCCCAGGACCCTGGGATCCTGAGCCAAAGGCAGACGCTTAACGACTGAGCCACCCAGGCGCCCCAAAATTTTATTTATTTGACAGAGCATGCACAAGCAGGGGGAGTGGGAGAGGGAGAAACAGACTCCCTGCTGAGCAGGGAGCCCGACGCAGGGCTCAATCCCAGGACTCCGAGATCGTGACCTGAGCTGAAGGCAGACGCTTAACTGACTGAGCCACCCAGGCGCCCCTTTATTTTTTTTTTTTTAATGCAGATTCCTGTATCAAGCCTGAGGGACACAGTTCTGGAACTGGCAGTGTTTGATCAACACAGGAGAAAGTTTGATAATTTCAGTTCACTAATGCTGGAATGGAAATCCTCAAATGAAACACTAGCTCATTTCGAAAATTATAATTCAGTGGAGATGGTAGCAAAGGATGATGGCAGTGGGCAGACTCGGCTACATGGTATTATGGTGACTTACAAATCCTTTTACATGTCTGCTAAGTGTTTCTGCACTAAGTATTTCCCTTGGGTGACAGTTTATTTCAGATTTTGTCATATCTCTCTTTGCATCTTTTTTTTTTTTTTTATTTTTTATTTATTTGCGAGAGAGAGAATGAGAGACAGAGAGCATGAGAGGGAGGAGGGTCAGAGGGAGAAGCAGACTCCCCGCCGAGCAGGGATCCTGATGTGGGACTCGATCCCGGGACTCCAGGATCATGACCTGAGCCGAAGGCAGTCGCTTAACCAGATTTCTTGGTTGCAAAGCCAGGGTCTAGGATCCAACATTTCTCACAAGAACATATTTATTGAGTGACTGCTACATATAAGACCGTGTGCTAGGCACCTGAATATGGAATGGTACATGAGATAGTCATGGCCTCTGCCCTCATAGACTTTATATAAATACTTTCTGAAGATTTCATTTATTTATTTTAGAGGAGGGGAGGGGCAGAGGGAGATGAAGAGAGAGAATCTCAAGCAGATTCCCTGCTGAGTGTGGAGCCCAGTGCAGGGCTCAGTCTCATGACCCTGAGTTCAAGACCTGAGCCAAAGCCAAGAGTCAGATGACTGATCCACCTAGGTGCCCCTCTCATAGACTTTAAATATTATGATTGTGTTAGGTGTTTTAAAGGACACGTATGGGGTGCTTTAAGAGTTATAGCAGAGAGGGGCACCTGGGTGGCTCAGTCGTTAAGCATCTACCTTCGGCTCGGGTCACGATCCGAAGGGATCGTGGGAGTCCGATGCGGGGCTCGATCCCAGGACTGTGGGATCGTGACCCGAGCCGAAGGCAGACGCTCAACGACTGAGCCACCCAGGCACCCCCATAAATAAAATCTTAAAAAAAAAAAGAGGTATAGTAGAGAACCTGACCTAGTTTAGAACAGAGAAGGCTGCCCAAGAGAGTAACATTTACGCTGAGACCTGAAGGGGCGGCAGAAAGGGAAACAGAGTGAGCAGAGTCAGGTGAACGGATCTTACAGGGGACCAGAGGCACCGGCAGGAGTTGTGAGACAGCAGCACGTGTCATCAGTCTTCAGTCCTCTCCTGTATCACATTTGCCGATTCACCGAAGCGGTCACCTGCCAAAACTGACTCAGGGTGGACAAGCACTGCTCAGGGGCATGGGTACCAGCAGGCATGGTTCACTGCAGGCCAGTAACATGGAAGCCTGCCACAGAGCCATCCCAGAGGTGAAGAAGAAAGAGGTACAGAGGGTAACTTTTAAGTTTCGGCATGAGCACTTAGAGGAGAAATAAGATTCAGCCTTCTCCACACCCACAGGGAGCTCACCCCCAGGACAAGTCTAAGAGCTTAGCTAGAGAACCTGGAAGCATAATACTCATGTGTATGTAATACTATAATACTCTAATACCAACAATATGGTACACTTCGTGTAAAAACTGGCAGCAAGGAGGGGCACCTGGCTGGCTCAGACAGTGGAGCATGCGACTCTTGATCTCAGGGTTGTGGGTTCGAACCCCACAATATGTGTAGAGATTACTTAAAAATCTTAAAAAAAAAATGGTAGTTAGGAAAGAGATGCTCCTTACTTGCTGTAACAGTCAACCACCAGATACCATCAGTGCTTCTTCTGTTTTCTCATTTCATCCCTTCCTCTAACTCCATCACTGTGTCCTCACCATATCTGTCCCATGTTACCACAGTAGCCTCCTGGCTGACCTCCCTCTGTCTGTGCTGCCCTCTAATCTGTCCTCCACACTACTGTCTAGATTACCTTTTTATAGGACAAATCTGGACCTCTTTTTCTTTTTTTTTTTTAAAGATTTTATTTTTTTAATTTTTTAATTTTTTTAAGATTTTATTTACTTGCGAGAGAGAGAATGAGAGACAGAGAGCATGAGAAGGAGGAGAGTCAGAGGGAGAAGCAGACTCCCCGCTGAGCAGGGATCCTGATGTGGGACTCGATCCCAGGACTCCAGGATCATGACCTGAGCCGAAGGCAGTCGCTTAACCAACTGAGCCACCCAGGCGCCCCAGATTTTATTTATTTATTTGACAGAGAGAGCACAAGCAAGGGGAGAGGCAGGCAGAGGAAGAGGGAGAAGCAGGCTCTCCACCAAGGAGGGAGCCCAATATGGGGCTCCATCCCGGGACCCTGGGATCATGACTTGAGCTGAAGGCAGACGCTTAACAACTGAGCCACCCAGGAGCCCCAAGATTTTATTTATTTGAGAGAGAGAGGGAAAGAGGGAGAGCACAGAGGGAGAAGCAGGCTCCCCGCCGAGCAGGGAGCCCGAAGCGGGGCTCGATCCCAGGACCCTGGGACCATGACCCGAGCCGAAGGCAGACGCCTAACGACTGAGCTACCCAGGTGCCCCTTCACCTGCTATTATTACCCATGTATACCCTACATCTTTCTCACACTCCACAACTTTATTTATTAAAAAAATTTTTTTAAGGTTTTGTTGTTTTAAGTAATCTCTACACCCAGTGTGGGGCTTGAAAATGACCGCAAGGTCAAGAGTTGCATGCTCTTCTGGCCGAGCCAGCAGGGCACCCCCACTCAACAACTTTATAGCCTTAGCCATGACGAGGCTTCTCTTACCTCTTTCCTTTCATGTGCTTATGTTTCCTTTTCTTGCATTGTCACTGGGCTGAAGTTTTTCTCTCGCCATCTGTGAGTTCCCTGTAACCCTACACTACCAATCCAAGGAAGGTAGTCCTTTCCTGTGCTCTGTACCTGCTGCTCTAAGAGCACTCAGCATGCAGTGTGGTGCCAGTTGCTTAGCTCAGTCACCACACTGAAACTGCGGGCTTCTTGGAAGGCAAGGATTGTGTTTTCCTCTTCATCTCTGAACCCTAATTACCTGGCATAGGACCTGGCATATAGTAGCCCCTCAGTAAATCTTTGTTGATGGATGGATGGATGGATGGAGCATCCTGAGTAACTGTGTCACAGATTGAGGCATGGTCATTCTACTGTGTTGAGGATAAAACAAGAATTTACTTAAGTGGCAGATTTATGTTAAAGTTTTAAAAAGAAAAAAAAAAGAATAGGTAAAACAGGGTCAGATTATAGAAAGTTTCAAACACTAGTTGAAGGAGTTTGAATTGCTCAGATGTGGAATACATTTACAGTGGATGAGATGAGGGGCGCCTGGGTGGCTCAGTCGGTTAAGCGTCTGCCTTCAGCTCAGGTCATAATCCCGGGGTCCTGGGATCGAGCCCCGCGTCAGGCTCCCTGCTCTGCAGGAAGCCTGCTTCTCCCTCTCCCCTGCTTGTGCTCTCTCTCTCTCTCAAATAAATAAAATCCTAAAAAAATAAGTAAATAAAGTGGACAAGATGTGACGTTCGCATTTAGGATAGTTTAGAACAGTGAAAGGCCCTGAAGGGCCGTATCTTTATTTCTCACTCCAATTTTTTTTTTTTAAGATTTTATTTATTGGGGCGCCTGGTGGCTCAGTTGGTTAAGCATCTGCCTTTGGCTCAGGCCATGATCCCAGGGTGCTGGGATCGAGCCCCACATCGGGCTCCCTGCTCAGCCGGGAGTCTGCTTCTCCCTCTGCCTCTGCCCCTCCACCCTCACTCGTGCTCCTTCTGCTTTCTCTGCTCTGTCTCTCAAATAAAAAAAATAAATAAATAAATAAAATTCAGCTAAAAGGATTGAAAACAGATATTCAAACAAATAGTTGTGTGTGAATATTCATAGCAGCATTATTCACAACAGCCAAAAGGTGAAAACAACCCAAATGTCCAACAAAAGATGAATGGATAAACTAAATATGTTATATCCATACTGTGGAGTAGTAGTCATTAAAAGGAACAAAATAGGGGCACCTGGGTGGCTCAGTTGTCAAGCGTCTGCCTTCAGCTCAGGTCGTGATCCCAGGGTCCTGGGATCGAGCCCCGCATTGGGCTCCCTGCTCCGCGGGAGGCCTGCTTCTCCCTCTCCCGCTCCCCCTGCTTGTGTTCTCTCTCTCGCTGTGTCTCTCTCCCTGTCAAATAAATAAATAAAATCTTTAAAAATAATAATAGCAGGTGAAGGGGCACCTGGGTGGCTCAGTCGTTAAGTGTCTGCCTTTGGCTCAGGTCATGATCCCAGGGTCCTGCATTTGAGTCCCACATCGGGCTCCCTGCTCAGCGGGGAGCCTGCTTCTCCCTCTCCCTCTGCCTGCCGCTCCCCCTGCTTGTGCTCTCTCTCTGACAAACAAATAAAGAAAATGTTTTTTAAAAAGATTTTATTTGAGAGAGAGAAAGAGCACGTGAGCGAGTACAAGCAGGGGGCAGGGAGGGACAGAGGAAGAGGGAGAAGCAGACTCCTTGTTGAGCAAGGAGCCCAATGTGGGGCTCGATCCCAGGACCCTGGGATTATGACCTGAGCTGAAGGCAGATGCTTAACTGACTGAGCCACCCAGGTACCCCCTCACTCCAATTTTTAAATCAAACAAAAATTTCCCCATACACTGTTGTCAGTCTGTGTTTGGACCCACAGACCATTAGAACTGGAAAGAATTTTAGATTTTGCCTGGCCCAATCCCTCATTTAATAAAGAAACTGAGAAATAAAGTTGTTGCCCAGTCACATAGGAATATAATAGCAATCAACACAAAAACTCAAGTTTTCTGTTTCTTGTGTATTTCCCCACAAAGTACTTTTTTCTTCCTACAACAGAACATCATTTGGAAAAAATTAGGGCAGAATTTGGTTTTCTGGAGACACTTTTGTATTCTCCACTTATCGTTTCTCACGTCTCCAGGTCATCAGGTCCTTAAAGTACATCAGTTAAAAGGGACTGTACTCATTGGAGTCAATTTTGTGGGCTACTCAGAGAAGAAAAGTCCAGAGGTAAGAAATAGAAATCACTGAAATTTAAGGCTCTTCATTTATAACTTTAAAAAAAACAAAAATCACTTATAACTAATGTAAATCTGAGAACTGTGTACCTCTCTGATTCTGTTATCTTTGGCATGTGAAAGAACACTGGAATCTTCTCTCAGCTGAGGAGTTAAAAGTTGATACTTATCTTTATGGTTTTTCTCCATTTCTAGAAACTTTCCAACTTGCCCAGATCTGCAGCTGTGGAGCTGCTTCTGGTGGACGATGTAACTGTACTGCCCGAGAATGCCACCATCTATAACCACCCCGATGTGAAGGTGAAAGTTGGAGGGGTCTAGTTAAATGGGGTCCGACTGGAGGGGAGGAGTATGAGGTTATTGAGATTAATAGTATGGCAATAAAAAAAGCTCACTTATGTGTTGAAAAGCACTGATAAGCATATGTAACATATGTGTAATAATTAGGTGCAATATCCTTTGTAGTAATACTGTAATAATCATAGTTTGTCTTTGGTCCATTGACCTTAATCTTTTAATCCCATACTCTTCCTTAAGTAGGTAGTAGTTGTTTTCTCTGAATTATTTAAAAACCAAAGAGAATGGAGCGTTCTGTGTCTGATCTTTCCATAGGAGATATTTAGCCTTGTGGAAGGATCTGGTTATTTTCTGGTCAACAGCAGTGAGCAGGACATTGTCACCGTCACTTACATGGAAGCAGAAAGCTCTGTCCAGGTGAGGTTTAGAGATAGTCCGAAGTTGATAGTCTCAGGTCAAAGTTCATCCTTATGAGAATGATTAGAAAAATTCCATTGTATGTCTCAGACTTGTTATAAAAGTAACATCTGCCTCATTTTTTAACCTTCATAGATTCTCCAACCCAAAACAAGCTTTTTTTTTTTTTTTCCTTCAACTCGCTGGGCAATTTTTGTTTCTGATTGAACTGAGACAGTGTAGAAGACATCTAATTGTAAGCTTTCCATGAAAAGAAGGTTCATTTCTATAAATTTCAAAGCACAGAACTGTGTGGATAATTTTTTTTTAAAAAGATTATTTATTTGACAGAGAGAGACACAGAGAGGGAACACAAGGTGGGGGAGAGAGAGGGAGAAGCAGGCTTCCCGCTGAGCAGGGAGCCCGATGTGGGGCTCGATCCCAGGACCCTGGGACCATGACCTGAGCCGAAGGCAGATGCTTAATGACTGAGCCACCCAGGTGCCCCAGTGTGGATAATTAGTTGTACTGTTGACTTCATAACTTGAGTATATGGTGTTTTTAGCCAGGATATGACAACTCAATATATTAAGCTATCTTTGTAATCAGTATGCCAAGGGATTTGCTTTTAGTTGACTTTTAGTAATAAAAATAATACCTTCTATTAACATATGTGTATATTTTCTTTCCTTCTAAGAGCTCAAAGGTCATAATATTTAAGAGGGGGGAGATTGCAGCACTGTGCACAGGGTGTGAAAGTACCTACTACTCGGGGCAGGATCTGCAGCATGTGACAGAAAACCAGGTTGTTCTCGTGCTTCCTCCCCCACTGGTGATTTCAGCATAAATGGACTGGGCTTTCTTCATGAAATCCCTTCCTTATTCATAATTAAGAAGCTGGATATGTATGTTGGATTCTGCTTGAATTCAGTCAACTTAAACCTTGCTCTTTATCAGTTAATATTTGTTAAGGGTGCGTATTGTGCTGTGCCTGAAACATGTAATGTGACCTCTCAGTTCCCATCAGAAAGGAAGTAAGTTGTTGTATTTTGTGCTTTGAATGAAAATAGTTGCTTTGATTATGTTTGGAGCATGTGTGCTTCCTTATCCAGCTGCCGTAGTCTTCCTTCTAGTTAGTTCCAGTACACCCTGGATTTTTCACCTTGGAGGTCTACGATCTGTGCTTGGCTTTCCTGGGTCCAGCAGTGGCCTACCTCAGGGTGTCAGACATGCAGGAGCTGGAACTTGATCTGATTGATAAGGTGAGAGACGTTTGCAGTTTCGCATCAGAGAAGCAGGCCTCATGCTTGCCCTGTAGCCTCACTTTATACAGTCTGTGTGGCTCCTGTGCTTGCAGCTGCAGGACCTTCAGTGATGTTAATGGAAATACCTGTCCTTAAAGGACAACATTCCGACATTATAAGATGAATAGGGTATTGAAGAGCAGGTAAATTAGCACTGGTAGAGTAGGTTTTTCCATAAAAGGCTGACCAGGAGCATTCAGCACAGTTTGTCACCCTCGAAGAGTTAGTTAGACTGTACTTGGTGAATGAGACACTTCTACTAAAATTACCTTTTTTTTTAACTACTAGGTTGAAATAGGTAACTCTGTGTTAGTAACTGTGAGGGTTCTTGGCTCTTCCAAACGCCCATTCCGAAATAAATACTTCAGAAACATGGAGCTTAAACTGCAGTTGGCTTCTGCCATCGTCACCCTGACGTGAGTACCACCTCAACATTCCTTCTCCCCAGGCCGAACATCAAGAGTCAGTGTCCCTGCGTTACTTCGGATTTTCTTCTTTGGGCCCGTAGTCTCCCGCCATATTCGGCTCTCTACAAAGTACCCCTTCCACGTCCTCAGAACGGTTGTTTAGGGACAAACTCACGTGTCTTGTGAGTATTTCCATTTTATGAAACTTCTCCTTGGATAGTATCCTCTAGGGTGCTTCAGGATGGAGGACCTTCAAAAATCTATCTAGAAGCAGAGGTGCTGGTATTCCCTCTGCAAAAGGAGAATACAGAAATTCCAAGGTGCTTTAGTATTTGCAGTTTTGCCAGTCTTATGTTTATGTTGCCCTTAATCCTCTGGGGCCTTAGAACAAGTATTTCGCCTTCAGGAGCTTCCTGCCATTGCCATGAACTTTGTCTTGACTGTGGAAATTTATTTTCTGGCAATTCCCTTTAACTAGAGTTAAAATGAACAGAAAATGTTATGCATCTTAGAAAGAAGCATAACGGGCTACTCTTAAAATCCAATCTTTTTTTTTTTTTAAACGATTTTATGTATTTATCTTGGGAGGGACTTTGGGGGGGGAAAGGGCCTAGGAGACTCCGTGCAGAGCCTGGCAAGGGGCTCCATCCCATGGCTCCAAGGCCAGGACCCGAGCCAAAACCAAGAGTTGGACGCTCAACTGACTGAGCCACCCAGGTGCCCCCAAATCAACTCTTTCTTACCTAAAAACACCTATGTCTTTGCAGGCTAATGGAGGAACAGGATGAATACTCTGAAAATTATATCCTTCGAGCTGTCTCTGTTGGGCAAACCACACTTGTGGCTATTGCCAGGGACAAGATGGGGAGGAAATTCACATCGGCTCCTCGCCAGATTGAGGTAAGGAAATTATCTCATCCAAAATTAGTACTTCTTCTTATTTAGCTTTATTCATCTTTTTCTGTTTATTTTGCATAAGTTAAAAATTATTTGACTAAGTAAAATGATAGTTGTCTAACTCTTGAAACAATACATAATTTGTTTTAGGTTTTTGTTTTTCTGTATAAAAGTAATACATTTCTTGTAGAAAATTTGGAAAGCAAAAGAAATAATAAAGATGCAGAATGAAAATCACCTATAATTCCACTACTTAGAGGCAACCGTTCGTTATTAATAATCCTTCATTTCTTCCCCATGCTTATTTTAACATAGATGAATCATACTGCTTTTTTCATCCTAATCCTATATCAATAGTATTTTTTATGTCATTAAAAGTTCATTGTTGGCCCTGTGTTGGCAGTTGTTGAAGCTGGGTAATAGGTACCGAGAGTTCATTATACTGCTCTCTCTACTTTTATATATGTTTGAAAAAAAGTAAAAAAGAAAGATAATTATAAACATAACTTTAATGACCACTTTTATTCCAATGAGTGGACATATAAGTTTTAAGCATTCTCATTTATAAGTTTTTGCTATTATAAATAAAATTTATATTTATAAATAAAGTAAAATCCATGTCTGTGTGTAGGATTTTTTCCTTAGAATAAGCTGCATGATCATTTGTTATGAAATTGGTTCTAGTCCGTCCCTGTTTTCTGTTTGGTCTTCTCCTTCAAGGTGTTTCCTCCATTCAGACTTGTTCCAGAGAAAATGACACTGATTCCAACTAACATGATGCAGGTGATCTCAAAGTCAGGAAATACAATTTACCCTTTCTCCTCACCCTGCTCTGTCCCACCCCAACACACACGCACCCCCTTCTTCCTGTTGGCCTCCTCTTGTCTACTCCCAGCCAAGTACAGCAGGATCTGATAAAAAAGAAAATTAGTCCTTTCCTGTCCCCTAATGAACAGGGTATAACCTACCTCTGGGGACCCCATAGATCATATGTGGCACTTGCGTTTCTTCTGCATTTGAGTTGATGTGGGATATGTCTGTTGGGAAGTGGGGGAGGCTAAGAGGTCAAATTGCTTGAATGAAATGTTGGGAAAAGAGATGTGATTTCTCCCCATGTTCCTTCATTTACTGGCATGTTTAAATTCCAGGTCATGTCTGAAGGTGGCCCCCAGCCCCAATCTATCATTCACTTCTCTATCAGTAACCAGACTGTGGCTGTTGTGAATAGGAGGGGGCAGGTTACAGGGAAGGTAGTTGGCACAGCTGTGGTCCATGGCACCATCCAGACAGTAAATGAAGATACTGGCAAAGTCATTGTGTTTTCTCAGGTATTGGTTCTTTGCTCTGCTCTGCTTCCACTTTTCCATCTGGGAACCATATTGGGGCATGTGGGGTGGTGAGGAGAAGGGTGTCAGCAGCTCAGAAAAACCCTTTGAGTCCCTTACCTGGCATTCTCTTAACCAAGCATGGGAAATATGTAATCTTTAGGGAAAAACCCCACAGAGTATTTGGCATTGTTACAAGACATAGTCCCTATCCTTAAGGAATTGTTCAGGGAACAAAAACAAACACATCTATGGCATATTTTTTTTTGTTGAATGCCCCAAACAACAACAAACTAGTTATCGTAAGCATCCTCTGTCCACTGCACAGACACTCCCTCTTAGCCTAAGCTTGCTTCTACCTGTTGAGCAGGATGAAGTGCACATTGAAGTGGTTCAGCTAAGGGCTGTTAGGATCCTTGCAGCTGCTACTCGACTCATCACAGCAACTGAGGTCAGTACGGTGGCTCTGTCTCGGTGTACTCGGGTAATGCCAGCTGGGCAGGACATCCAGCACAGCACTCCTTCTTCTTTTCAGATGCCAGTTTACGTCATGGGAGTGACCAGTACCCAGACCCCTTTCTCCTTCAGCAATGCCAACCCTGGGCTCACATTCCACTGGTCCATGAGCAAAAGGGATGTATTGGATCTAGTACCCAGGCATTCAGAGGTAGAAATGTGTCTGTTTATTATATCATCTCAGAGACATTGATAGTAATTTACCTTATTTCATCAAGTTTGAGACTGACTTTACTTTCTAAACTACACAGTGTTACTACTTATCTCCTCCCCTTGTTCTGTGTACTCTGGAAACCTACAAATCATATGAAGAATTCAATTTGAGTACTCAGATAATGCTATGTAATTTTTAATATACTTTGCTGGAAGGAGCTCTCAAAAACAGTGTTTCCCTTAATATTGACTTGTGAGCATTTGACTATGTTCCACGAGTAGTAGTAACACGTTATGAATACAAACTATATATATAGGCACACTTAAGTGTACTGGGCTTTGCTTCATTGTGCTTCACAGATATTGCATGTTTTTACAAATGGAAGCTTTGTGGCAACCACAAGGCTGTTGGTGCTGTTTTTCTGACAGCATTTGCTCACTCTGTTCTCTGTGTCACAGTTTGGTAATTCTCAAAATATTTCAAACTTTTCCACTATTATTTTATTTGTTATGGTGACCTGTGATTGATCAGTGAGTATGATTCACTGAAAGCTCAGATGACGGTTAGCATTTTTTAGCAATAAAGTATTTTTAATTAAGATATGTACATTGTTTTAGACATAATGCTATTTATTGCAGACCTAATAGACTAATAGTATAGTGTAAACGTAAATTTTATGTGCACTGGAAAACCAGGAAATTCATTTGACTCGCTTTATTGCAACATTTGCTTTACTGTGGTGGTCTGGCGCTGAACCTGCGGTAGCTCTGAGGTGAGCTTATGCTCTGTGATAAGTGAAAATAGTTCTGATGTCGTAATGCACACAGCATTAAGCCTTATTCAGAAACCTGAAAAAGAATTAGAGAGAGGAGGGAGGGAGGCAGGGGATGCTACAGGCTAACTTTACCTTGTTTACAATATTGTTACCGGATGGTCAGTTTGAGAGAACCCACCCAGGGTGGTCTGGGGACAGTGGCAGCCGCCTAGATCCTTAGGAAGAAGGAACCTGCAGCCAAGTTACCCAGTAGGTCACGACTCAGTGCCCACAAGAATAAAGAGTTAGAGGTAGATCTTGGGAGAGAACAGAGAGGTTACAGGAGCTAGAATTAATTAGGTATTTCTGGAGCCAGCTAAAAAGAAAAGAGAAGTCTGAAAAAAGTTACAAAATCTATTTGTAATCCTTCTAAAAATATCCTAGATCTGTAGTCTAGGGAAACTCTGGTGTTTGGGTCTTCTATCTGTTGTGGACTTCCCTGAGCCTGCTTATACTCAGAATTGAGGAGAGGTGGAACTGTACTTAGTTTGGCAGAGTTCTGCACAGGAATTCAGCTCTCTTTCTTGACTAGCAAACAGAGATTGTATGAAATGAGGGGCTGGCATAGGCCTTTAGCATCTGTTCTACTTCTCCCTTCCTCCAATTTTATCTAAAGCCCAACTCTTGTCTCTAGGAAAAGTGATTGAGAGCCATACACAGAGTTTCTCTTCCTGCCTCAGATCCTGCAGGGTGAGCTGAGCCGGCCCCACATGGAGGTCTCCTGCATGTGGTGTCAACACTCAGAGATTCACTTGGATCAAACATATTGTTAAACCACTTGTTCTTTAGCATAAGACTTCCTTCCAGACAATTGATTGAGATCTGCATAAAGGAAATGGGAATTTTTCTGTAGGGGAGGAGGGAAAGGTGATTTTGGAACTTGGGACTCTGGAGTCAAGAGAGCTGGAAGAAAGGTCTTGAAGGCTCTGGACAGCAAAAAGGCAGGAGAAAGAGGGCATGAAATGAGTGCCCCAAAGGTAGGCAGGTGTCTACTCCAACATGTGTCTTAACGTTGGCCCTGCCTTCCCGATGGCCTTATCCAGTCTGGGCCAGAGTGGTGGGGAAGCAGTAAGGAGATGGTCCACTAGGGTGAGCATAGTCCTGAAATAGCTCTCCTTTCTTGTCCTCTTCCTTCCTTGCTACCACTCTGAACTCTAGGGGTAGATTGTCTCACTTCTCCCAACTCAAGTTCTACTCTCTGAAGCCATTTTAGAAACCCCTTTCTTCATTTTCATTCTCCTGTGAACGGATTGACTTCAAGATAACATGAGACTGTCAGGCTTGCCAGAATTAGTTGAGTGCTATACACAGAGCTTACCTGAGGGGTGACTGTGTTGCTGGGAATATGAAAAGAAACAACTATGAAAATAACCCCTGGTACTCTAGTTATTTTATACAGATCTATCTAGCATACATTTTCTTTATCGTAACAACACAGAGGGAAGGGCACAGTGACTATTAATGAGTATTTCTTAATCCATTCCTGACTGTCTTCCAGGTTTTCCTACAGCTCCCAGTAGAAAATAACTTTGCCATGGTTGTCCACACAAAAGCAGCCGGTCGCACCACTATCAAAGTCATTGTCCGCTGTATGAACAGTTCCTCTGGGCAGCTTGAGGGGAATTTGCTGGAACTGTCTGATGAAGTTCAGATCCTGGTAAGGTCCCAAACCTAAATCTTGTTTTTACGTATCAAGGAGAAGAAGGTTATATTCTTTTATCATCCATGGGGAGCTGTGTCTGGATAGAGGTAGAGAAATTGCTAGAGGGAGCCCTAGGATAGGCTCATAGCTTCTAGGTCTTGGTCATTCTTGCTAATTGCATCTATGTAAGTATTGATACTAGAAACCGTAAGAACATGCACTCCCCTCAACTCCCCACACAATAAACACAGGATATGAAACCATAATAACGAAAGAGGGGTTCATTTCTTAGCTGCTCTGCCTAACATAGATACTATGATACCATCCACTGAGGAGATCTAACCCTAACTTCCAGTAAGGTGTAAGAGCCTGAATGGTTGGTTTCTACAGGTGTTCTGAGACTGAAAGCTAACTGGCCCTGTTGTTTTTAGTGTTCAAAAGAAAAATGATCATTTGTGGGGGGCAAATAAGTTTCTCTACCTCTGAATTTAGGACTAATTTTTTTTTCTTTTTCTATCTTTTTCCTTTATTTTGGTTTTGTTTCTCTGATTCAGTGAGGGGTAGAGGAAAGAGCTTTTTACTAGGACTAGCTAATTTATTATTATAAGTTTTTGTTCTCAAATCTCTTTTCAGGTTACCAGAGCTAAAATTAGAAATTTCAAAATTATTTTATACCTAATATCTAAGTGATACAGAGGATGTGGTTGGTCAGTGTAGCTTTGTCAGAAGCAGGGCTAATATTAGATTTGTATTCTATAGAATACCAAGGTGCGTTTTAAGTGTCTGGCTCATTTGGAAAAGAGTGTCGTGGACCCTCAGGCTAAGCTGAAGTGAGGTGGACGTTGATTTGTAGTTGATATGCGAGCAAAGGTCATCGTTTTGTCTTTTCCAGAAATGAGGAAGACATTATTTTCTCACTTTAGGTGTTTGAGAAACTCCAACTGTTCTTTCCAGAGTGCCAGCCTGAGCAAATTCTGATGCCCATGAATTCCCAGCTCAGACTCCACACCAACAGGTGAGGAGAGTGGGGAAGGGCAGGCCAGGTTCCAACCTTACCCTTAGGAATATGGAAAGAACCCTTGCCTTCTAGGTGATTTTTTTTAACCCACAAATAAGTTTTTTTTAGCTGAAGTGAAATTCAGGTTACATAAAATTAACCATTTAAAAAATTTTTTTAAAGATTTTATTTTTTTATTTGACAGAGAGAGACAGCGAGAGAGAGAGAGAGAGAGAGCACAAACAGGGGGAGTGGGAGAGGGAGAAGCACGCTTCCCACTGAGCAGGGAGTCCGATGCGGGGCTCGATCCCAGGACCCTGGGACCATGACCTGAGCCGAAGGCTTAAGTGAGCCACCCAGGTGCCCCCAAATTAACCATTTTAAAGCAGACAATTTAGTGCATCACAGTATTGTGCAACCGTCACCTCTGTCTAGTTCCATCTTCATCACCATCAAAGGAGACTGTACCCATCAGCAGTCACTCCCTGTTCTTCCCTCCTCTCAGCCTCTGGCAACCACTGATCATCTCTCTCTGTGAATTTATTTATTTTTTTTAATTTTTTATTTTTTTTTAAGATTTTATTTATTTATTTGACAGAGAGAGACAGTGAGAGAGGGAACACAAGCAGGCAGAGTAGGAGAGGGAGAAGCAGGCTCCCCACTGAGCAGAGAGCCCGATGCGGGGCTCGATCCCAGGACCCTGGGATCATGACCTGAGCCGAAGGCAGACGCTTAACGACCGAGCCACCCAGGCGCCCCTCTCTCTGTGAATTTAAGTCTTCTGTGTATTTCATTTATTACATGGAATCGTACAACATGTGACCTTTTGTGTTGGCTTCTTTCAGTTCACATGTTTCCTAGGTTCCTTCCCATTATAGCATGTATTAATATTTCATTCCTTTTATTTTTTTTTTAAGATTTTACCTATTTATTTGAGAGAGAGAGAGAGCGAGAGAGCAAGCATGAGTAGGGGGAGGGGCAGAGGGAGAGGGAGAAGCAGCCTCCCCGCTAAGCGTGGAGTCTGACGCGGGGCTCGATCCCAGACCCTGAGATCATGACCTGAGCCACCCAGGTGCTCCTATTTTGTTCCTTTTTTTTTTTTTTTTTTAAAGATCTTATTTATTTGACAGAGAGAGACACAGCGAGAGAGGGAACACAAGCAGGGGGAGTGGGAGAGGGAGAAGCAGGCTTCTCGTGGAGCAGGGAGCCCGGTGCGGGGCTCGATCCCAGGACCCCGGGATCACGACCTGAGCCGAAGGCAGACGCTTAACGACTGAGCCACCCAGGCACCCCTGTTTTGTTCCTTTTAATGACTACTACTCCACAGTATGGATATAACATATTTAGTTTATCCATTCATCTTTTCTTGGACATTTGGGTTATTTTCACCTTTTGGCTGTTGTGAATAATGCTGCTATGAATATTCACACACAACTATTTGTTTGAATATCTGTTTTCAATCCTTTTAGCTGAATATTTTGTTTATTTTTTTTTTTTAAGATTTTATTTATTTATTTGAGAGACAGAGCAGAGAAAGCAGAAGGAGTACGAGTGAGGGTGGAGGGGCAGAGGCAGAGGGAGAAGCAGACTCCCGGCTGAGCAGGGAGCCCGATGTGGGGCTCGATCCCAGGACCCTGGGATCATGACCTGAGCCAAAGGCAGACCCTTAACCAACTGAGCCACCCAGGCGCCCCCAAGCTGAATGATTTTTTAATGATAAATATGTGATGGGATGTGATTTTTAAAGAGATAGGCATAATCCAAAGGCAGACTTTTACTTGAGGAACAAATAAGCACACAACATGGAGAATGGCAAGTAGTTTCCTGAGTAAGTCTCTAACAGTAATCCTGGCAATATCCTCTCTTTCTGGTCAGAGCCCCCAAGAGATGCCACTTGTTCCATTTGTTCCCTAGGGAAGGGGCCGCCTTTGTGAGTTCCCGTGTTCTCAAGTGTTTCCCTAATTCATCTGTCATCGAGGAGGATGGCGAAGGGCTCCTGAAAGCTGGTTCCATTGCAGGTACTGCTGTGTTGGAAGTCACTTCTATAGAACCTTTTGGAGTCAACCAAACAACCATAACTGGAGTTCAGGTGAGTTCAGGAACTTACTCAAAAAAATAAAAGGAATACCATGGCCTGAAGAGGCAGATTTCCTGGTTTAAGAACTAGGAACTTCCCTGGAGGTCAGAACGAACTGTAAGATAAGAGGACAATCTTGACATGGGTATAAGCCATCAAAAGTGGCCTTTAGAAGCCTTGTTATAAGAGGGATTAGCCTTAAATTGGTACACTTCTGAGTAGTGTTGGCAAAAGGGTGTGGGAGAGGGTAGAACTATTGCTATCAAAATTAGGCTTTGTTATTAGAATTAAAAAATTTAGTCTAACATGGGGCGCCTGGGTGGCACATTCAATTAAGCATCCAACTCTTGGTTTCAGCTCAGGTCATGATCTCAGGGTTGTGAGATCGAGCCCTGTGTCCAGCTCCACGCTGGGCATGGAGTCTGCTTGAGATTCTCTCTCTCCATGGGGCACCTGAGTGGCTCAGTCAGTTGAGTGTCTGCCTTTGGCTCAGGTCATGGTCCCAGGGTCTTGGGATTGAGTCCTGCATTGGGCTCCCTGCTCAGCGGAGGGCCTGCTTCTCCCTCTCCCTCTGCCCCTCCTCTGTTCATCTACGCGCACGCTCTCTCAAGTAAATAAATAAAATCTTAAAAAGAAAGCTCCAACTTCTCTCCACATTCTCTTAGCTTTAGTAATTCAGGAGCCATTTACTGTACTGTCATATTTCTTACTCAGCTCTGATTTAAGTCATCTCAGGTCAGGACTCCAGAATCTATGGCAGCTCCTCTCCAATGGCCCTTCTCCTGCCCACAGGTGGCGCCAGTGACATATGTGCGGATGAGCAGCCAACCCAAGCTGTATGCAGCCCACGGGAGGACTCTGCCCGCCTTTCCTGTGGGCATGTCTCTCACCTTCATTGTCCAGTTTTATAACAGCATTGGAGAGAAATTCCACACACACAACACCCAGCTTCATCTGGCTCTGAACAGGTGTGGAATCAAAGGAATGATGTCTATATTGTGGTAGAAATTGTGCAGATAGGCTAGGGTTATCCAGTAAATGCCTCTCAATGTTCTCTACTCGGAATCTGATCTTTACTTTTTTTCATTAGGATGGGAAACACCAGAATGGTGCTAGTTGTTTAATGAAGAAGAATTTCAGGGTGTCTTCAATCTGTCAAGCCCTAGTTCACAGAAAGCCCCCATAGGGAGCTGGTAGGAGTATTATTATCAAAAAGCTGTACTGGGGTGCCTGGTTGGCTTAGGCGGTTAAGCATCCAACTCTTGATCTCAGCTCAGGTCTTGATCTCAGGGTTGTGAGTTCAAGCCACGCTGGGCGTGGAGCCTACTTAAAAAAAAAAAAAAGCTGTACTGGAAAACAAATTTTTAATTAAAAAAAGTGGGGGGGGGGGCGCCTGGGTGGCTCAGTTGGTTAAGCGACTGCCTTCGGCTCAGGTCATGATCCTGGAGTCCCGGGATCGAGTCCCGCATCGGGCTCCCTGCTCGGCAGGGAGTCTGCTTCTCCCTCTGACCCTCCTCCCTCTCATGCTCTCTGTCTCAAATAAATAAATAAAATCTTTAAAAAAAAAAAAAAAAAGTGGGGGGGTCTTACTGGGTACTCTGTATATAAAGGTAATAGACCTGACCCTTGGCCACTTGTTGCTTGCCCTCCACCATAGAATTCCTTCTGAACCTTCGAGCTGTTGAATAGAAAATGCTGTGATCAGCTCTGCTCCCAGAACTATGTCCTAACAGTGAACTTTCAGAGATGACCTGCTACTTTCTTATCTCCTTTCAGAGATGACCTGCTACTTATTGGGCCAGGGAATAGGAACTATACTTACGTGGCCCAGGCAGTGAACACAGGAGTGACGCTTTTGGGAATCTGGGACCAGAGGCACCCAGGTGTGGCAGATTACGTCCCTGTTGCTGTGGAGCATGCCATTGAGCCAGACACCCAGCTCACCTTTGTTGGAGATGTCATCTGCTTCAGGACTCACCTCCTCAACCACAATGGTTTGGATACCTTCCCTTTCTTAACCTCACAGCTGACAGGATGAGAAAGCAACTCATCCCTTAGATAATTTTTTCGAAACGATTTAAAATCTGAAGGCTGGGGCGCCTGGGTGGCTCAGTTGGTTAAGCGACTGCCTTCGGCTCAGGTCATGATCCTGGAGTCCCTGGATCGAGTCCCACATCGGGCTCCCTGCTCGGCGGGGAGCCTGCTTCTCCCTCTGACCCTCCCCCCTCTCATGCTCTCTCTCTATCTCATTCTCTCTCTCAAATAAATAAATAAAATCTTTAAAAAAATAAAAAATAAAAAAATAAAATCTGAGGGCCTAGGGTCACCTGGCCTACTCAGTCAGAGCATGGGATTCTTGATATCGGGGTTGTAGGTCCAAGCCCCATGTTGGGTGTACAGATTATTTAAAAAAATAAAATACTTGGGCACCTGGGTGGCTCAGTAGGTTAAGCTACTGCCTTTGGCTCAGGTCATGATCCCAGGGTCCCACATCAGGCTCCCTGCTCACCAGGGAGTCTGCTTCTCCCTCTGACCCTCACCCTTCTCGTGCTCTCTCTCTCTCTGAAACAAATAAATAAAATCTTTAAAAAAAAAAAAGTTTCGGGGCGCCTGGGTGGCTCAGTCGTTAAGCGTCTGCCTTTGGCTCAGGTCATGATCCCAGGGTCCTGGGATCGAGCCCCGCATCGGGCTCCCTGCTCCGCGGGAAGCCTGCTTCTCCCTCTCCCATTCCCCCTGCTTGTTGTATTCCCTCTCTCGCTGTGTCTCTCTGTGTCAAATAAATAAATAAAATCTTTAAAAAAAAAAAAAACGTTTCAAGAGGAGAAGGAAAATCAACTCTAAAAAAAATTTTTTTTAAAGATTTTTTTTTTTTTAAAGATTTTTATTTATTTATTTGAGAGAGAGAATGAGAGACAGAGCGCACAAGAGGGAAGAGGGTCAGAGGGAGAAGCAGACCCCTTGCTGAGCAGGGAGCCTGATGCAGGACTCGATCCCGGGACTCCAGGATCATGACCTGAGCCGAAGGCAGTCGCTTAACCAACTGAGCCACCCAGGCGCCCTTTTTAAAGATTATTTAAGAGAGTGTAGTGGGGGGAGGGGCAGAGGGAGAGAGAGAATCAAATTGCAGACACCCTGCTGAGCCCAGAGTCTGAGGGTGGGGCTTGATCCCAGGACCCTGAGATCATGACCTGAGCCAAAATCAAGAATTGGATGCTTAACCAACTGAGCCACCCAGGTGCCTCCAAAAATAAAATCTTAAAAAAGAAAAAAATCTTGAAGGCCTCTCTAGGAATATTGATCACTCATCTCCTGATCGCATAGCTCACTGTATTATGTAGGTGGTGTGGGTACCTTATTCCCAGCTTCTGAAGGAGGGTAATTGATAAATTGAACAACAGTAAAGAATGAAGGAAAATGCAGTAAAGCTTTAGTTCTAGGAACCAATTGTGAGTACACTGTTTTGTGAAGGACATCTGAAGGCCTAACTCTTAAATATATCATCCCCGTAATAAGGTTTGGCCTTGTACTGGGCTAAACTATACTCTTGATCAGCAAAGCATTTCTGCCCTAGGAAGTACTACTGAGTGCAAGGACATCAGTCTTTGGTTAAGAAATGAGTATTAATTCTCTGGGTTTACAGAAGGCATATTCCAAAACAGTGTACCCTGCCTGGGTGCGTGCATCCAAATAATCCATCCAAGTAGGATTGGATGGGGGTGGTATGTGGCTCTGTGACCTCTTCTGGGAACTGGATCCATGTGTCTGGGTATAGTGATGTGACGTGGGGCCAGATTCGATATATTTAGGGCTTGATTCAGAGGGAGTCCACTCAGCTCAGGTCAGATCCCCAAATCCTGTAACGACTGATTTGTAAGCAACCACCACTAACTCACCTTATTCAGACTCTGTATCAGTAGACCATTCAAGCATACAGATATCTCTTCCTAGGAGGAACATCCAGCTTTGGAGATAACTTTATTTTCTGAATATCAGGCTCCCCTTTATATACCATCATACCCACAAAATAAAACAAGGATTACTGACCTTCAGATCTGGATTTGGACCCAGGGACCCAGGGCCATTGAGCTAGACCTGCTTTAGGGTTGACAGAGTTACAATCTTATGATTGTTAATCTCTTGTCAGTGAAAGAACACTGTTACTTGACTCTTCTGCTAGATTTTGTCAGGACTGTACTTCTATCTTCCATTCTGGAATACTTGGACATCCTAAATCTATACCACTTTGAATGAGGAAGCAAAAGGACCAAATGCCAGGATCAGTACTCTAACCTAAATTCAAGGTAGCATTCCTCTGCCACCTTGAGACTTAAGCCAAAGCAAACAAACCTTCTCTCCTACCAGCTGTCACCTTCTCACAGTCTTCTGCTGATATCCATTAGTAGCTGAAAGAGAGTTATCCCTGTGTTAAAAAGAGTTTTTCCTTTTCCCTAAGAACAGTTATATTCTCCAACTAAGTAGCTCCTTCTGTGATTCTGAAGGTCAGTAATCCTTGTTTTATTTTGTGGGTATGATGGTATATAAAGGGGAGCCTGATATTCAGAAAATAAAGTTATCTTCAAAGCTGGATGTTCCTTCTAGGAAGAGATATCTGTATGCTTGAATGGTCTACTGATACAGAGTCTGAATAAGGTTAGAGTGACCATCCATTTAGATCAGAGGTTGTGACCAAGTGCCTTCTCTTGTCTTTTCTTAGGTGAACCTGGGATATGGATGATTTCTGCTGACAACATTCTACAGACAGACACTGGCACTGGAGTGGGAGTGGCCAGGAGTCCAGGAATAACAACAGTTTTTCATGACATCCCAGGAGTGGTGAAAACATATCGAGAGGTAACCCTAATGAGGCCAGGGTGACTATTTCCATATTTGGGGATATGCATATAGAATACACATCCCAGGAAAAGAAATCTACTGACATGTCAGATATAAAGCCAGCCAGCAAACTTTGGAACACAAAGCTAAACAGTGATTAGGATTTTTAACCAGAAGGAAAAATAAATAAATAAATAAGGGGCGCCTGGGTGGCTTAGTCATTAAGCATCTGCCTTCGGCCTGGGTCATAATCTCAGGGTCCTGGGATCGAGCCCTGCTTCGGGCTCCCTGCTCGGCGGGAAGCCTGCTTCTCCCTCTTACACTGCTTCTCCCCGCTGCTCGCTCGCTCTCTCCTCAAAAAAAAAAAAGTTTCAGAAGGATGACTAGTGTGATTTATACTTTAAAATATCACTGTGGGGGAGGTGGGGCGAGAAAAAATAAAAATAAAAAATAAAATATCACTGTGGTGGAGCGCCTGAGTGGCTCAGTCAGTTCAGCGATTTGGCTCAGGTCATGATCTCAGGGTTGTGAGACTGAGCCCCATGTCGGGCTCTGTGCTCAGTAGGGAGTCAGCTTGAGATTCTCTCTCTCCCTCTGCCCCTCCCCGCTCAAATAAATAAATAAATAAATCTTTTAAAATATATTTTAATTATGTATTGGGGTATAGTCATACACATGTATCCTGTTCAGCTGCACATGATTTTTAAAACAACAACATCAGGGGCGTCTGGGTAGCTCGGTCGGTTGGGCATCCGCCTTTGGCTCGGGTCACGATCTCAGGGTCCTGGGATCGAGGCCCCGCATTGTTCTCGCTGCTTGGCAGGGAGTCTGCTTCTCTCTCTCCCTCTGCCCCTCCCCCTGGCTCGTGCACTGTCTCTCTCTCTCTCAAATAAATAAATAGAATCTTTAAAAATAAATTTAAAAATAAATAAAAAATAAATAAAACAGTGCCAACCCCCCCAAACGTGGTGGTACCAGACCGTAGGGGCAAGGGTTGAAGCTGGGAAACTGCTCTCGCAGCGATCCAGGTGAGATATGGTGGGGACCGGGGCCCAGGCTGCTAACAGAGGAGGCGGGGAGAAGCTGGTCAGAGTCTAGTGCACTTTACAGGTGGAGCCAATAGAATTTCGTGGCAGATTATATTAAGTCTGAGAGAAACAAGAATGACTTGAAGTTTAAAAAAAAAAAAATGACTTCAGGGTTTTGACTCAATAACTAAAAGGACAGAATTGCCATCATTTGAGGGGCGCCTGCCTGGGTGGTGCAGTAGGTTAAGCATCTGACTGGATTTCAGCTCAGATCGTGATCCCAGGGTCCTGAGATCGAGCCCTGCGTCTGGCACCATGCTCAGCGTGGAGTCTGCTTGTCCCTCTCTCTCTGCTCCTCCCTCCCAGGCGTGCTCACTCTCTCTCTCTCTCATAAATAAATAAAATCTTAAAAAAAGAAAAGCTACATGGCTGAGTGCTAAGCTGCTGAGTGTGGTTCCCAAGGAAGAGGCCTGGGGTGCACGCTGCCTCTGTAAATGGCTTGCTGCAAAACAAATGCTGAATGCTGTTTTTACTTTTTACCTTTTTTTGTAAAAGTAAAAATCTTCTTTGGATTTCTTTTCCTTAGGGAAACCACTTATTAATGTCTTTCATAAAAGTGATGAGGCTTAATGCAAATTTTTGAAAAGTGGAGGGATCCCTGTATTTCAAGGAGGGAGGGAGTGATCGGCCATGTCAGATGTTACTGATAGGTAAGCTGAAAACAAAGACTAACGGGTTCGCAGTACAGAGTGGTTACTTTGATGAGTGGCTTCAGTGCAGTGATGGGAGTGGAAGTCTGGAGAATTGAAAGGACGTGTGGATGGTGGGCGTAAGACAGCTCTGTGAGGAACTGGAGTCAAATTTTTGTTTTGTTGATCATTTTTTGAGATGGGAGAAAAAATGATTTAGGAATGATTTAGTAGAGAAGGGAAAATGTGATGTAGGAGTAGGGAGAATTGCTGAAGCAACATCCTTTAGTAGGTGAAATGGTTGAACAAGTGAAGGATTGGCTTGATGAAGCCTTTTCTCTTTCCCCTTAAATACATGTTGGGTCTCCCTCCTCTGTTTGTTCCTCTTTTCATTACTCAAATGTAACAGCTATCGTTTGTTGAGCATCTACTATGGGCTTGGCATTTTGCATCTGTTTTTTGTGGGGATTTTTTGTTTTTTAAAGATTTATTTATTTATTTATTTATTAAAATAAATTGAACTGAGATAGTACTCAATCATTACCCATTTTTTTTTAAGATTTATTTTCTGACAGAGAGAAACACAGCGAGAGAGGGAACACAAGCAGGGGGAGTGGGAGAGAGAAGCAGGCTTCCCGCCGAGCAGGGAGCCTGGTGCAGGGCTCGATCCCAAGACCCTGAGATCATGACCTGAGCCGAAGGCAGATGCTTAATGACTAAGCCACCCAGGCGCCCCTGCATCTGTTCTTTTAAATTTTGATTTTACATCCAGTATAACTCACTTTTAATCTTCACAACCCTGCAAAGTATTATCCCAATTTTATAGATGAGTAAATTGCCCAGTATGTGCCCATATGGTATCTGGTGCCTTATTATAAGGAATTCACAGTCTAGTGGTGACGGAAATAATTACATGTAGACAGTTTAAATAACTACAACATAAATGGCCATTGCTTTACAAGTGACATGTCAGAAGTGCTCCTGGAGTCCAGACATGCCTGGGGGAGGCATGTGACTGGATGTACAGCTTAAAAAAAAACTTAGGGGGAGGAGGATGCCTGGGTGGCTCAACAGGTTAAACGTCTGCCTTCAGTTCAGGTCATGATTTCAAGGTCCTGGGATCAAAGCCCATTATCGGGCTCCCTGCCCAGTGGGGAGTCTGCTTCTCTCTGCTCTCCTGCCCCTCTCCCTGCTCATGCTCTCTCTCTCTCAAATAAATAAATAAAATCTTAAAAAAAAAAAAAAAAAGAATACAGAAGAGGGGCACCTGCGTGGCTCAGTCAGTTAAGCGTTTGACTCTTGATTTTGGCTTGGGTCGTAATCTCAGGGTTGTGGGACTGAGTTCTGAGTCAGGCTCTGTACTCAGCGCAGAGTCTGCTTCTCGCCCTCTCCCTCTGCTCCTCCCCCACTCCTGAATTCTCTCTCAAAGAGGTAGATAAGTCTTTTAAAAAAAAATACAGAAGAAAGAAAGTCACTTAATTCTGCTTAGACATTAAGGCTAAATTTTCTAGAAGTGACATTTAAACTGAATCTTGAGATCTGAGTCATGGCACACACAAAAATAGTCTTGGGGCGCCTGGGTGGCTTAGTTGGTTAAGCGACTGCCTTCTGCTCAGGTCATGATCTCCGGGTCCTGGGATTGAGCCCCGCATTGGGCTCCCTGCTCAGTGGAGAGCCTGCTTCTCCCTCTGCCTCTGTGGCTCCCCCTGCTTGTGTTTGCTCTCTGTTTAAATAAATAAAATCCTTTTAAAAAAATAAAATAAGGGCGCCTGGGTGGCTCAGTTGGTTAAGCGACTGCCTTCGGCTCAGGTCATGATCCTGGAGTCCCGGGATCGAGTCCCACATCGGGCTCCCTGCTTAGCGGGGAGTCTGCTTCTCCCTCTGACCCTCTTCCCTCTCTCGTGCTCTCTGTCTCTCATTCTCTCTCTCTCAAATAAATAAATAAAATAAAATAAGTCTTGAGGATTAGGAATTTGGCAGATAAAATAGAAGGCATTTAATTATTTTTTTAAGATTTATTTGAGAGAGAAAGCACACATGAGTTGGGGAGGGGGAGAGGGAGAGAGAGAATCTCAAGCAGACTCCCCACCAAGCGCAGAGGTGGTCTTGGGGTTCAATCTCACAACCCCGAGATCACAATCCTGAGATCATGACCTGAGCCAAAACCAAGAGTCAGGTGCTTAACCGACTGAGCCACTCAAGCGCCCCAAAAAGAGAAGGCATTTTAGACTAAAGGCATAGATGTGCAAAGCCAAATAAAAGTAGGTGTTGCTTGAAGACCAATGAATAAATCAGGGTGGCTTCAGCAAAAGTTTATAAAGGTACAAAGGGAAAATTAGATAACATCTAAAGAGAACTTGTATGGTGAGCAGACAAAAGGGCTGGGGACAGAGGCAGCATGAGAAGACAACTTGAGGAGTTTGAGAAGGGTTTCAGTGCTAGGAAAGCAAAGAGAAAGGGGGTGACGAGGGAGGAACTGCTCTGTGCTGTCAGAGGCTCCAGAGATGTCAAAAGGTCGTATCCTAGTTTGTGTACTTTGTAAAATAATCATTTAATCACTAACTAGCAGTCCCTCATTGAGGCCTCTTCTGTGTCAGCCCTGTGCCAGACTGGAAACACAAAGATGAAAAAGACAAAACTCCTTCCCTTACTAAGAATTTAATGTCACTAACTTGGTTTCAAGGTTCTTGAATATTTGAAAAAAAAAACAAAAACCAAAAATTTGTGGTAGTACTGAGGAGACTGTATTATAATACAATATACATTTAATGTAATTACATAGTGTCACTAATAATGACATAATGATATAATGACAAGATAATATACATTTAAGTTAATATTTGGGGGAGAGGGCCATCATTATTTTCTCTCATTGTAATCATTAAGCACTTGCCTTAAATACAAGGCACAGTACAGCATATACAAAGATAAATTAGGGTTCTCAGTTGAAGAACTTAGATTCTAATAGGAGTGATTTTTTTTTTTTTTTTTTTTTTTTTTTAAAGATTTTATTTATTTATTCATGAGAGACAGAGAGAGAGAGAGAGAGAGAGAGGCAGAGGGCGAAGCCGGCTCCCAAGGAGCAGGGAGCCCGATGCGGGACTCGATCTCAGGACCCTGAGATCATGACCTGAGCCGAAGGCAGACGCTTAACCATCTGAGCCACCCAGGCGCCCTAATAGGAGTGATTTTTAACAAAAATAAAAATACCTACAGTACAAGACAGAACATTACAAATATATTGAGAGAAACAAACTACTTTGAAGTTTCAGAAAGGGCTGAGATTATATGAAACTAAAGAAAGTTGCAGTTGTCTTTAAAGGCATTTTTTTTTTTTTTTAAGATTTTATTTATTTATTCGACAGAGATAGTGAGAGCAGGAACACAAGCAGGGGGAGTGGGAGAGGGAGAAGCAGGCTTCCCGCTGAGCAGAGAGCCTGACGCAGGGCTCGATCCCAGGACTCTGGGATCCTGACCTGAGCCGAAGGCAGACGCTTAACAACTGAGCCACCCAGGCGCCCCCTAAAGGCATTTTAATAGGGAGTCATCCAAAGGGAAGATGTCAAACAGAATAATGGACAAAGACCTCCTTTTAGGAAAAAAAAGTTATTTTCTTCTCAAAGGTAAACAGGTTTTGTGGTTCTTAAATATGTGATGAAGTAGAAGGGCAGTTTGCACTTGTGTGAAATGGATGCTTTTGGTTGAATAAGTTATGAAGGGTAGAGATGGAGAGAACAATATTTTCTAAGAACTTAGGTACAGATTTTCCTTTGGTTTGCTGACAGGTGGTGGTCAATGCATCATCAAGATTAACACTCAGTTATGACCTCAAGACCTACCTCACCAATACCCCCAATTCAACTGTGTTCAAGCTCTTCATCACCACTGGCAGAAATGGTGCTAATCTTAAAGGTCAGGAGTTTCTTTATAGGTCTGGGTGATTGTTGCCATCATTCCCATCTTCGTTCAACTCATTTACCCCTTAGACTAGCAATCCATATTTCCTTTTATTTCAAAATTGACTCCACCTTTAACAAATAAATCATTGACAGCTATGACCTCACAAATGATTGGATACCAGGTTTTGATATGGGCTAAACCTAGTCACTGTTGTTTTTCTAGTTATAACCTTGCCTGAGAGGTGGCCTAAACCAGGGATTTCCAAATATGGCTGATTTTCAAGGTTACCCAAGGAAATTTTTAAAAAATATGGTCTTAGGCTCCATCCAAATAGTTAATAAGTTTGGGATAAGGCCTAAGATCCAACTCTTTTCCACCTTCCCTAGATTTAAGAATTGCTGGACTAGGCGACATCTTAAGTGTTATTTGCTCAGCAAATTTATTTTGTATGTTTTTTTGTTCTGTACTGGGCTATAATTTACTGTCAATAAAAGGTGCGGGGGGGGTGCCTAGCTGGCTCAGAGGAGCATGAGATTCTTGATCTCAGGGTCATGAGTTCAAGCCCCACATTTTGCATAGATTACTTTTAAAAAATAATAAAATATTTTTAGAATTTTTAAAAAGTGGGGGAGAAAAGAAAACTAAAATACAAGAAATTCCTAATAGATTCTAGGTGCTATGTTAGCAGTTTTTATATATTTTATCTCATTTAACAATCTTTTTTTTTTTTTTTTTTTAAGTAGGCTCCAGGCCCAGTACCCAACATGGGGCTTGAACTCACAACCCTGAGATCCAGATCTGAGCTGAGATCAAGAGTCGGACGTTTAACCGACTGAGCCACCCAGGCACCCCTCATTTAACAATCATATATAGTAATTATCATCATTTTAAAAATGAGAAATACTGAATCTGAGGGCAAGTAACATGTACAAGGTAACAACTAGTTAGTGGCAGAATTGGTAGATCTGTCCCACTCCAAAGTCCACATAAATTCTTTCATTCTTTTTTTTTTTTTTGTCAAGAGAACATGCAAAAAACCAAGAAGTTCAAAATATAATTACTGTCTATAAAATTTAAAGTCTAATTGCCCTTTTTGTCCTTCAATTTTTAAGCACTTATTTTCTTTTCACATTAGATACTTAATTTTATCATAAGTATAATCTAAGTATATATAAATATTTGATTTTTAAAGTTTTCCAGGTTCTTTTACAAAGTACTAAATATTTACAACATACTCGTTGTCTGCCTTATGATTTACAGATTGCAATTTTTTCCCCCAAGAATCTTTCTAAAACCACAACTTATTTTATTATGAAACCTCATGAAACAACTCCTTTGATATTGCTGATAAGTCTCCAAAAGATGAAAATGGTCACCAGACTACTGGCAGCTGAGAAAGAACTTCAGCAAACTGAGACCATTAAGAAACTGTGCAGGGGAAAATCTTGTTAACAGGACACCAGTTCCTGTTTAATCTAGAATGCCATCCATTGCAGCTATCCATTTCTTGTTGGCTGTGTGGCTCCTGTTTAAGATACCATTTGTAATAAAATTCTAGAGATCTCTAATTTGAATCACACTGCCATCGGTTATGGAAAATGAAACTTCCTAGACTGAAAAGATACCTCCCAACTGTAATAGCTGTCCAGTTTCCCTGGAATCTGTCTCATTCCCACTGATGAATTCCAAAAACTTTTGAAAGAGGACCCCAACTACGATATTGATAATGGAAGCCCCGCTATAGTAATAGGGTCTTAGACTGTTCTTTCATCTTTTTTTTTTCTATTTTTTTTTTTTTTTTTTTTTAAAGATTTTATTTATTTATTTGAGAGAGAGAGTGAGAGAGAGAAAGAGCACAAGAGGGGGGAGCAGGAGAGGGAGAAGCAGACTCCCCGCCGAGCAGGGAGCCCGATGCGGGACTCGATCCCGGGACTCCAGAATCATGACCTGAGTCGAAGGCAGTCGCTTAACCAACTGAGCCACCCAGGCGCCCTGTTCTTTCATCTTGATTGTAGCAGGAGCCAACAGGGCTGGCCTAATCAGACAGAACTGACCCCTCTTTTTTGCTATTTTTTTTAAGTTTTTATTTAAGTAATTTCTGCACCCATCATGGGGCTCGAACTCACAACCCTGAGATCAAGAATTGGCATGCTCCTCTGACTGAGCCAGCTAGATGCCTCCCCTTCCCCCCCACCTTTTTTTAAGATTTATTTATTTGAGGGGCATCTGAGTGGCTCAGTTGGTTAAGTGTCTCCTTTGGCTCAGGTCATGATCCTGGAGTCCTGGGATGGAGCCCTGTGTCAGGCTCCCTGCTCAGCGGGGAGTGTGCTTGGCCCTCCCCTCTGCTTGTGCTCTCTCTCTCTCTTAAATAAGTAAATAAAATCCTTTAAAAAAAAAAGAGAGATGTATTTATTTGAGAGAGAGAATCTCAAGCAGACTCCCCAGTGAGCGCAGAGCCCAGCATGGGGCTCGGATCTCACAACCTTGGATCATGACCTGAGCCAAAATCAAGAGTCAGATGCTCCACAGACTAAGCCACCCAGGCGCCCTGCCTCTTTTTTTTAAATCAAACTACTGCCTTTATATAAGTCTCCTCTTTTATAAATCTTATGACCGTTATTTATCTCTTTTCTGCTTATTAGGATCCTGTACCCCAAGTCAGGCCTTGGCCATTACAACAATACTTCTTCCTGAGACCCTCGTGCTGTGCCATGTGCAGTTCAGTAATACTTTGCTAGACATCCCAGCAAGCAAAATCTTCCATGTCCATGCAGGTTTCAGCATGGAGAAAGGTGGGTCCCACCAGCTGGGTCTGGTGCCCGTTTCCATCTCTGTAGTTGTCACTTGCTTATTAGATTGCATTTACACTTTCCAGCTTCATCTGCTCTATAACTGTGGAAACTTTCTCAACCAGCATTTTTGTTTAATCTCTGTAATACCCTGTGCTTTTCTATTATAGTCTTCCATTTTCTTTTTTGCTAGTCCCTGTTATCTCTGGGCTTGGATCATCTTTTTAACCCCAGGAAGTAGCAGTGTTTTGAGTGTTTATTGTTGAACTGAAGGATATTCCAAGCAGAATAGCATTAACTAGCATAAAGTAGAAATAGGCATGACATTGGAATTTCATATGAATCACCTAATCTAAAAATGAGAGGATTCATGTCAAACGTAAGGCATAAATAGGATAGTGCTACTGCCCAAGGCCTTCTGCTCCAAGGCTAGGCAGGATGGTGTGAATAATGAGCAGCCACTGAAGGAAGGCTCACTCAGCAAACTGGTGGACACTAAACAGAATGCCTGGTGCCAGGACACGCGCTAGGTGTACACAGGGGAGCAAGACAGGGCTCTTCCTTTTCACCAGTGCTGCGCAGGGTGATCCGTCAGAATAGAGATGCATGGGATGCTGTAGAGGCAGAAAGAGAAGAGGAGCATCTACCTCAAACCTGGGGGTTAGAGTGTGGTTTTACACAGCAAGGCCTGTGGAAGGGTGACTAAGAGTGAGCTAGATGTGAAGAGGCCAGAGGCCAGGACATCCCAGGCAGTTGAGAGCCTGGAGCTCGGTAGGACAGAACGGAGAGGGAAGAGTAGGAGGCAAGAAGGCCAGTGAAGGGGCCACTGCAATAATCCAAGCATGAACTGATGAGGGTCTAGCCCAGAGTAACAGGGAGATACTAAGAGGTGTCAGACATTTCAAAAGATGAGTTAGCAAAATTTGGAGGATGGTTGGATTTAGGAATGAAGGAAAGGGTGTCTATGAAAAGACAGCTGAGTGTGAGCCTGGATAACTAGAACAACAATACTCCCATCAAGATACGGTTTGACAGAGAAGTGACTAAGCCATGCTCAAAGCATCTTTCACAAACCCTTTCCTAATCTTGGCAACTCTTGGTTACTTCATTCTATATCCCCTTAATTTCTGTTTGTACTGTGTTATTTACTACTCCCTGACATGTTGATTTAAGCAACAAGTTCAACTGTGGGTTGCCTGGGACTGTTTTTCTTCGGTGTCCTTCCCCCACAATGGCCAACAGTCTGCTAATAGTGAACACTCAGAAAGTTGAGTTCACATTTTCTTCTGAACTTGCTTCCATTTTTCCTTCCTATTTTAAGCCAGTTGGCTCAATAGAGCCTCCGAACCTTCCCCGCTCAGTTTTTCATCTTTTCTTCAGGGGTTTATGTCTGCCTAATCAAGGTTCGACCCCAGTCAGAAGAGCTGCTCCAGGCCCTCAGCGTGGCTGACACCTCAGTCTATGGGTGGGCCACACTGGTCAGTGAACGGAACAAGAATGGAATGCAAAGAATCCTCATTCCTTTCATCCCAGCCTTTTACATCAACCAGTCAGAATTGATTCTTAGCCACAGACAAGACATCGGGGAGATAAGAGTGCTGGGGGTGGACAGAGTTCTTGAGAAGCTAGAGGTATGTGAAGCACTGAACCAAAACATAACTGAGATCAAGGTTTTGAAAAAGGAGTCCTCATTCCTAGTCCAAGGGCAAAGGAACAGTTATGGAATGACTTTGATAAAATTCACCACAAGGGGGGAGGGCTCTTAGAATGAAGAAAACCTGTCCTCTTCACAATGCCCGGGTACTCCCAGAGTCCAAAATTTAGGTCATGAGCTTTGTCAGTCTGAAAGATACTAGTATCATCCTAAATGATCTTTAGAATTCTAGTTTAGAACTTTTTTTTTTTTTTTTTTTTTTTTTTTTTTAAGATTTGAGAAAGAGAGCATGAGCGGAGAGAGGGACAGTGGGAGAGGGAGAAGCAGGCTCCCCACTGATGTGAGGTGCAATCCCAGGAGCCTGGGATCATGAGCTGAGCCAAAGGCAGACATTTAACTGAGCCACCCAGGCACCCAAAACTTTAAGATTTGTTTGAGAAAGAGGGAGTGTATGTGAGAGGGGGGACAGAGGGAGAGAATATCCAAGCAGACCCCTGCTAAGTGTGGAGCCCAACACAGGGCTGGATCCCTCCAGCTGTGAGATCAGGACCTGAGCCGAATTCAAGAGTCGGATGTTGAACCGACAGAGCCACACAGGCAACCCTAGTTTAAAACGTTTTTGAAGCCAATTTTATTCTCACAGATCTTTTTTTTTTTTTTTTAAGATTTTTTATTTATTTATTTGAGAGAGAGAGAATGAGAGACAGAGAGCATGAGAGGGAGGAGGGTCAGAGGGAGAAGCAGACTCCCCGCCGAGCAGGGAGCCCGATGCGGGACTCGATCCCGGGACTCCAGGATCATGACCTGAGCCGAAGGCAGTCGCTTAACCAACTGAGCCACCCAGGCGCCCACAGATTTTTTTTTTTTTAAGATTTTATTTGAGAGAGAGAAGGAGAGTGCACACAAGCCAGGGGAAGGGGCAGAGGGAGAGGGAGAAGCAGGCTCCCTGCTGAGCAGGGAGCCCGATGTGGAGCTCAATCCCAGGACCCCGGGATCATGACCTGAGCTGAAGGCTGACGCTTAACCGACTGAGCCACCCAGGCGCCTTTCACAAATCATTTTCTTCCCTTATCTACTTCAACACATCTGTGTGGAAAAGCAGATGACTTATCTTCAGATTGCTAACTAGAAATACAGGGATCTTATTGTACGTTTAAGATTGGAATGCAATATTGATGCAAACAAGTGTCATCTTCTTTTCTCCAAGGTCTTCCCTAGCTCCCCAGTTCTAGTGGTCTCTGGCCACAGGCAGTCTTCCCTCACGCCTGGCCTGGCTGTCTATCCCGTAAGAGCAGTCAACTTCACCTCCCTTCAGCAGATGGCATCACCCATTTTCATCAATATTTCCTGTGAGCTCACCAGTCAAAGTGAGGCTGTGCTAGTGAGAGCTCTGAAGGATAAGTCTGGTGCAGGTGAGCACTGGGGGCTCCTGGTGTGTTTTGTTTTCAAGATTTTATTTGAGAGAGGCAGAGAGAGCAAGCTGGGTGAGGGGCAGAGGGAGAAGCAGGCTCTCCACTGAGCAGGGAGCCAGATGCCCAAACTCTGGGGTCATGACCTGAGCCAAAGGCAGAGGCTTGACTGAGCCACCCAGGCACCCTGGGGCTCCTGTTTTTAATCTAGAGTAGGAAAGACCACAGAATGTATTGCTTAGTTAATGAGAAACATTCAGCCACTTGACCGAGATTACTCAAACTAGTTGGGGCATTGATCTTTATTTTCCAAGCCTACCTATAACATCACCTTCAGGAAGCTCTCTTCTCACCATCAAGATATTCTACTTAACTTATATATTTAAGAGTAGTTATCAACTTAAGAACTTCTCAGCCTTGTTAAGTGTACTATTTTCCTGTTTTAAACCTCTTGATAAATGTTTTTCTTCAAAAATCTCTGGCAGATCTTTTTGCATCAGGCAATGGGCAAATGGTGATAGTCCTAGAACTAAGACTGCTTTCCAAAAATCCTGATTCTAGCCATTACTCAGTTTAGAAACTATGCCCAGTCTGGGTGGGATGGGAACATGTGTAGTCATGGAAAAGTGTTAGGAAAGCCAAAGAATCATCCTCCTTATACTGCCACCGCTACCTGCCCATCCCTCCAGAGAAAGTGTTCTTTGAATTAACTAGGAGTGAAGTGGACTGAACCCCCATTCATCTCCAATGGAAGGAAGGTCTGTTTCTACAAGTACCTGATACGTACTGGCCAATATCCTAAGTGCATTTTATGTGCATCTGTTGTCTCGTAACTCTAAAGTAGATATTTTTCCCTTTAAGAATTGAACAAATTGAGATGCTCAAGGTCCCAGGACTAGAAACAGTGTTCAACTCTGTTCTTTCTGTTGGGAGTTTTAAAATCTAGAGTTTTTTAAATGGGTTTCTGCAAGGGTCCATGGATGGAATTCCAGGTGCCCATGACCTTCAATGAGGGGGAAAAACTGCATCTTTATTTTCAACTAATCTCTCAATAAAGTTTCCATTTCCACTGATTTTACGATTATAGGCAAGAAACCACAGCAATAGCAATATGTGTGACTCTGTCACCAACAGAATTCAGATATTTTCATGTTCCAATTATTAGATCTCAAAATTCACTTCAAAGTTACATAAAAATTACAGTAGTTATCAGACCTGAGCCTAGATCTTTCTTGTTACTAAAGCACTCAAAAAAAGGTCTTTTTAACATCTTATTAAGTGTATTGTATATACATAGCTATATCACAATGTTTTTTACATTTTGGTTAACTTTGATATAACTGGTTTCCTTTTATTCCTACACATTTTATTTTTTGAGATAGGATCCATGGGTTTCACCGTACTGCCCAAGTTGCTCATGGCACAATAAATGGTTAAGAACCCCCGCACTTCTCAGAGCTAAGTAAGAGGGACCAGTGGGAACAGTACAACCATGGTGGGTAGGAGTGGTCAGACAAAAAAAACCCCAACCCAGTCTTCAGCTAGCTTATTCACACAAGCACGCTGAGTACCCACTGGTATATGCCAGGCATGGTACCTAGTACAGAAATCAGATTTAAGACAGGGCCTGGGGATTAACATAAAAAAAAGGGGGGGGGGGCCTAATTAAGGAGCTAGTAAATAGTTCGTTGTAGCCAGAACAAAGGGGTATTGGAAAGGCTGATCATGGTCCGTAAGTTTTATTTGGACTCCTACCGTATAAACACTGGAAAGCCAAAAGCTTTCAACAGTTGGACCTGATCAAGGATTAATACAGAGGATCTTGTTTTTAGTGCACTTTATTTCAAACAGCCTCAAAAGTGTTCTTCAGAGCAAGGCAGTTTGTAAACAGTTCTGAAACAAAGTACCATGAGAAGACCAGTTCCAAGTCCAAAAGTTAGAGGGCCTACACTAGGAACGCAGACTAGGAACTCCGTAGGAGGGCCTGGTGACCGTAGGAGATATCTGGGGAGACCTGCAAGTTCAGGGGAGTCTGCTGGGACAGGTGTTCCTTTCTGGACACTGAGACATCGGAAACAACCGAAGTAAAATGTCAAGTGTGCTTCAAAAACACGAGTCTCAGGTTTCATTGGGGACAGTGTTGTACAAAAATCCGAATGCTCCCTAGAAAGGACGTCCTAAGGAAGGAATGACAAGGGGACCCCTGGATTTAAAAGGTGGCTGGTGATCCAAATAAAGGTTTCAGGTTAGAGGGACTAGAACTGGAAGTTCAGGTGCCACAACCACAAATTCGGTGAAGAGCAGCAAGTCACTAGGAATTAAAAACTCACAGGAAAGGTTAACCGGCATCTTTAGGTCGTAGAGTACTCACCTATCCATTTGTAAGTTGAGAAGAAATACAAGACTCAAAGTTTGGGAGATAGGAACAAGCGAAAAAGAGGTCGAGGAACCAGGTACATAATTCACCTCTGTTAAGAAGCAAAACAGTTTCCCAGAGGGCTGGGTTTTGAGAGCTTCTGCTGGATACCCAGGACCATGTGTTTTTAAACACAGCCACCTGCCCTGAATGCTTTAAGTAACTATTACCTTTTATTGTTCTGACCAATGCACAGATCAATGTGAAGATTCAGGTATCCTCCAGAAGTTCCTGGGTTCTCACCAGGCCATCCTCTTTACCCTCTTCACAGTGCTGGCATCAACAGCTTTCATCTTTCTAGGTAAGGAGCCCTTACATTCAGCAACATGGACTTTTGACTTAGAAACTGCCTTCATTTAGTTTCACCAGTTAGGGCGCCTGGATGGCTCAGTTGGTTAAGCAACTGCCTTTGGCTCAGGTCATGATCCCAGCGTCCTGGGATCGAGCCCCACATCGGGCTCCTTGCTTAGCGGAGCCTGCTTCTCCCTCTACCCCTGTCTGCCTGCCACTCCCCCTGCTTGTGCTCTCTGTGTCAAATAAATAAAAAATGTTTAATTTCACCAACTATGAGGATGAAAATTAGTTGTTCATCACATCTCACTTGTGACAAGCAGTTGGAACTCATTCAGCCTCCCTAGTCATCTAGTGGACAAAAGGTCCTGCTCAACTTACCACCAAGAAGAAGCAGTAAAGTGCATAGGACAGAACCCCACTTGGAAGTGGAAACCACCGCTAAGCCTTGAAATAATGGTGACATCTGCCTTGTTCTTTTTCCAGCGTATAATGCCTTCTTAAACAAGATACAGACAGTTCCAGTTGTTTATGTACCAACTCTAGGAACACCACAACCAGGTAAAGAATAACCACCCTCACCTCTGAAAAGCTCAAATATCCATGTTTTATTCACACTTCATGTTTCTTTTTTACTCCTAGGTTCTTATACCTCCACCACACGTTCTCCCCCACCTTTCATGAGTCCACAACCCCCAGCAGGCCCGAGACGGCTACAACACTGGCTATGGAGTGTAAGGCACTAACCTCCACTTGGACAAATCCCCTCAACTGTAGAGGACTGGAGCCATAAGCCCCCAAACTAGATAGGCTTCTGAAAACTGTAAATAAAAGATCCTAAGCTGTTCTGCGCCAAGGTGGTATGTTAAAGGTTAACTGTCAATTCTTTTTTTTTTTTTTAATATTTTTTTGGCCAAATTGGTTTCTTTTGGCTGTCTTTTTTTTTTTAAGATTTTATTTATTTTTGAGAGAGAGAATGAGAGACAGAGAGCATGAGAGGGAGGAGGGTCAGAGGGAGAAGCAGACCCCCCGCCGAGCAGGGAGCCCAATGCGGGACTCCATCCAGGGACTCCAGGATCATGACCTGAGCCGAAGGCAGTCGCTTAACCGACTGAGCCACCCAGGCGCCCTGAACTGTCAATTCTTAACGCTATGAAAACATAAAAGTGAAAGAAAATGTCCATTTACATAGTATCCCATGTTTTTATCAAGTTCCAAAGATTTACTCGGTGAGCCTAGCTGGACAGAAATGTCCCAAATAGACTTAAGTACTTGGCCACTTACTTGCCCCAAGTGACTCTAGCAGTCCACTCCTCTGGTTGCCCCTGAGTACTTGAGGTAGGAACTTCCTAGCAGTAAAACAAAGACAATGAACGGGACGTATCCAAAATCTGTTTATTGGGATAGTGTCGCACTCATCTTGATTCAGGGTGCTTTTAGTGCTGCTTCCGCCTGAAGGAGCATCCTGGAAGAAGGTGGTTCCGAGGTTACTTAGCCTGCCCCACCCCCACAAAACATCACACCCACAAGAAAGCTGCATCTTTACTTTCCTTCTAAGCCTGTAGCTACCACTTCAGTCGTTTAAGAAACTCACCACTACCTCAAACGAAGACCCTTTTAGGACTCCTCCGCCTCAGCTTTAAACCTCAGCGTTACTTTTTTGGGGCAGGAAGGCGTGTGGACGAACGACTTCCAACTCCCCACCACCTTTAGGGGACCCCGGTCGTCCAGCAGCTCACCTTCTGTAAGCCTTGCTTTTCCTCCCGTGGGCTGGCAGAGGACAGTGGAGCAGCCGACGCACAGAACTACCGTTTGCGCGTGGCTAAAGACGGTGGTGATCTTGTAGCATCCTGGGAAGGAGCACCGAGCAGCAGGGGCTTAGGACCTTTACTTCCCGCCCACGCCTTTCTCTGCTCGAGCGCAAGCCCGCGTGCGGTAACGGTCGGGACACGACGTCCCGCCCCCCGCCGTCCGCCGTCCCCTCGAGACGCGCACGTTCAAGCCCGCTCGGAAGCGGTCGGGCCAGCCATGCCCCCGCCCCCGGGGGCCCACCATCTCGCCCGCCAGTCGTCGCCGTCCCCGTCCCCGCGGGCGGCGCCCCTCACCCGGGCACTTCACGTCCATGAAGTAGGAGTTGGGGCTCTGCACCAGGCGCTTCTTCTTGTGCTTCCTCTTCTCCTCTTCCGGGGACGGGTGCAGGAGGTCCTTCGCGAGCTACAAGGGGCAGACAGGCGCGGTCAGGGCGCCGGCGGCCACAGGAGCAGCAGCCCCCTCCGCCCGGCGTCCACAGCGGGGCCGCCATCTTACCCCCGCCCCGGGCCGCGCGCCGCCCGCCCCCGCGCCCGCCGCCCGCGGCCCGAAGCCCGCGGCCGGCCCCCGCGGCCCGCACCGGCGGAGGGGCGCGCGCGCGCGGGAGGCGAGGGCTCCGCCGGGAGCCGGGCCGAGGAACTCACGGGCATGTTCTCGTGGGGAGGTCGTCACCGCCGGAAAGGAGCGAAAGCGGAAATCCTGCCGCTTATATCCGCCGCCAGCCGGAAGTGACGCGCGCGCGATCGGCAGCCATGCCGGAGTCCGCGCGCCGCCTCCACCAGAAACGGACGCCTCCGTGCGGGCGGCTTCCGACGGGGCTTGCTGCGCCGCGCGGGGGGGAGCGCATTAACAGGGTCGGCTGAGGAAGACGGCGCGGCCGAGCCATGCCCAGGGCTTCTCGGTGGGTTTACTTTGCCGGTTACCAACTCAGAGTGTAAAAACAGGAGAAGGAAGCCCTTCCATCGCCCGTTTCCGCAGCCTCCTGCGAGGGTGAGCCGCCGTTGAGTTTTGTCGTCTTTCCAGTCTGTTTCCTCTATGACGGCGACGTCAGACCCTGACGTAGTGCTGTCTGTGGGCAGCGCTGCGCCTGCTCCGCACGGTGTGTCGGGCGGACCCTGCGGAGGGACGCCCAGCGCAGTCCAAGAAGCCGCCCGAGGTCCTGCCAGCCCGCCGTCCGAGTCGGCGGCGCCACTTTACAGCCCCACAGCCCTTCCCGCAGATCTGCAGCAGCACGCACGCTTGACAGGACGCCTGAAGACCGAAGCATCATCTTCTCTAGTCGGACGCAGCGTTTAGAATGTCGCTGTGTCATAAGGAGGATCGAAGGTGACTCGAATGGTATCTTGGAATCACGGGAAAGGCACGTGAGTCCCAGTCAGGGGCGTGCTGGCCCAGGTCAGTTTCAGTGCTGTAACTACCCCACCGTGGCCGATTTCACACTACCGGTGTGACATCGTTAAACACGGCGTTGGTAAGAGAGAAGCACAGTTTGTTCTCGTGGCCAGCAAGAACCGGTCGCAGCACACCCCTGAGGGGCAGAAGATCCCCCGAGGAAGTGACATTTAGGCTGAGTTCTGAAGGGGTATCAACCAAGCAGCAGCCTGGGAGAAAAGCATCCTGGGCTGAGGAAGAGCTTGTGAAGACAAAACCAAGGCCAGAACGAGCCTGCCGTCATTGAGGGAGGGAGAGGCATGGTTGCCAAAGCTCTGAGAGCTAAGGGCAAAGCTTACTGGGCTTAGGTTCCGGTGACAGCTGGTGTACAGCATAAGCACTGTTCGGAGAGGTGAGCACCGCACACACCACGCTCTGGGGATGAAGAGTCCAGATCCAGGCAAAATGCGAAGAAAAAGAATTGATGGGTTTTTATCGGAACAATTCATGAAAGCTGAAGGATTGGTAGGAGGGGGCGCCTGGGTGGCTCAGTCGTTAAGCGTCTGCCTTCCGCTCTGGCCATGGTCCCAGGGTCCTGGGATCGAGTCCCACATCGGGGTCCCCGCTCGGCGGGGAGCCTGCTTCTCCCTCTTCTGCTCCCTCTGCCTGTGCTCTCTCTTTCTCTCTCTCTGTCAAATAGATAAAGTCTTTATGAAAATAAATAATTGGTAGGAGGTGGTTCGACCTGTGAGGAGAAATAGAGAAGACTCAAGGTTTGTGATACGGCCTGAAGACAGTGGGAGGTGAGAGGATGGACAAGAGGGGGATTGAATAGCTGTGTTTGAGAACGGGCAAGCATGGACACACAAGATGACAAGGATGAGCGAAGTAACAAAAGATGTCTTCTCAGAACCGGTACATTGCACAAGGACAATTCTACTGACCCACTATTAGAAAAGCAGATAGTTTGAATAATTTTTTTCCAAAGACAAAGATAAACTTGTTCTTTGTAGCCGTGTTTTCCATACTTCAGCTTTTTCGTTGCCTTTTCACAGCCCTTTCAGTGTGGTGTCAGGAGGGCAGCCTCAGGGCGGTCTTAAAGATCCATCCCTCATCAAAAGAATGAAACCAGACATTTATAGTCCCGTTTATGTCTTCCTGAAACTGGCTTGTCAGAGAAATCACAAATAGGGTCCCAGAAGATTTGAATACTGTCGTTAATAAAGCCCAAATGTGTCTCAGTGAAAGAGAGCGAGTGTGTGTGTGGGGGGGGGGGGGGCTGTGAGGAGGAGTGGTGTGGTATGGGGGCTGTGGGGGTTGGGTTGGGGTGGTGGAAGGGTGTGTGTGGTGTGGGGGGTGGGATGTGTGATGTGTGTGTGGTATGTGTGTATTGTGGGTATGATGTAGGTGTGGTGTGGTAGTGTGTATGATTGTGTGGTAGTGGGGTGTATGATGTTAATGTGTGATGTGTGGTATATGTATGATGCGTATGGTGTATGTGTGGTGTACATATGTGGTGTGGGTGTGATGTGTATGTGGTGTGGGTGTGTTTGTGGGTGGTATTTGTCTATGTGATGTGTGTGCTGTATGTGGTGTGCATGGTGTGTGTAGTGTGTGGTATGTGGTGTGATGGGGGTCTGGGGGTGTGGTGTGTATGGTGTGATATGTGATGTGTGTATGTGGTATGTGTACGTGGTGTGTGTGTATGTGATGTGTGGTGCGTGTGTACGTGGTGTATGTGGTGTGGGGAGTTTGTGTGTGGTGAGGTGTGTATGTGTGTGTGGTATGTGTGTCTGTGGTGTGGTATGTGCTATGTGTATGTAGTGTGTGTACGTGGGGTGTGGGGGGTTGTGGGTGTGGTGTGCGTGGTGTGTACGTGGTGTGTGTGTGTGTCTCGGCCCATGGGGATACCTTTCCACGCCGTCCACCAGGGGGCAGACCGTCCCCACAAGTGGCTGGTGCTCCAGGGCGTCCGGCCGCGTTCCCAGGGAGCTGGGCCGGACCTGAGGGCTGGGGACCCCGGAGCCCAGAAGTGCCCCAAAGGCGTCCACCCTTGGAGTGGACCTGGGGTCCCTTGGCTCAGCGCCCCCGCTGTGGTGAGCCCCCAGTGCCAGCCCCGCCTTCAGCCTGCATCCCCCAGGTCCTGAGGCGCCCCCGTCGGTGGGCCGTGTGGCTGGCAGCGGCTCCCCCTCCTCCACAGCCACCCTGGCGCGGATTGCGGGCGAGCGGGAGGTGCCCGGCCGTCCCGGGGCAGGGGCGGGCGGCCAGGGGGTGGGGCCCACGGCAGGGCCGCCTCCCCTCTTTCCCGGAGCCTGGGCGGAGAGGGAGGAAAACTTCTTCCTGGCCTGGGCTCCCGGCCGCTCCGTCTGCCAGCCCTGCGGTCCCGCCCACCGGCGCCTCCCCCGGCTCCCCAGTGTCCGCCATGGCCAAAGCCTACGACCACCTCTTCAAGTTGCTGCTCATCGGGGACTCGGGGGTGGGCAAGACTTGTCTGATCATTCGCTTTGCAGAGGACAGCTTCAACAACACCTACATCTCCACCATCGGTGAGCCCGCCGGCCGTGCCCCAGGCCCCCGGCTCCCCCCAGGCCCTCACCCCTGCATTCCACCGGCGGCGAGCCCGCTGGCCTGTCCCACACTCCCAGATCCCCCAGGCTCCCAGGTTACTAGTGGCCCCACTTTTCAGTCCCCCAGAGGGAGGCTTCTAAACTCTCAGCCCCGTCTCAGACCCATCCCCCGCACATCTCTCTGGATGGTACCCAACCTCTAACCTCTCTGAGGCCTCCAGGTAACTTCTCCGTTGTGCCAACCCCTTGTTTTCCTGGTACCATCCTTCTCCCTCATCTCCCCAAATCCACATGAACCCTTTTCTATTTCCCGCTGCCCATCTCTTCCTCACCCCCACTCGCCTAGAACACTTGACCCTCTCTGTATTTCCTGTACCCCCTCTCCCTGAACATGCTTTCCAATTCCATTAGCCTCTTTCTGTCTTGCTGAGTTTCAGACCCTCCCATTGCATCCCCAACCTTACCACTTCCCAGTCTCCCTGCCCCTCAACTTAATGGAGGTGGGCAGGGTGGAACAGAGTGGCTGTCTGTGCTGGAGGGTGACCCAAGGACTGGGATGGTGAATATGCCGTCAGCCAGGCAAGGAGGGTGGGAGTGGGGGTACTTTGGGGGGCTCTGAGTCAGCCTGGTGACTCAGCCTCCTCCCTGGGCTCCCAACAGGCTCTGGGGAGGTGCCCACATTTCCACTAAGACCACTGCCTCCCCTTCTCCCTTCTTGTCTTTCTTCATCTCCTCTGGCCTGGGAAATAAAACAAGGGGAGTCTCAAAACAATTCTGGTTAGAAAAGGGAAGGAAAGGGGCACCTGGGTGGCTCAGTCGGTTAAGTGTCTGCCTTCAGCTCTGGTCATGATCCCAGGGTCCTGGGATGGAGCCCCACATCGGGCTCCCTGCTCTGTGGGGAGCCTGCTTCTCCCTCTGCCTCTGCCTGCCACTCCCCCTGCTTGTGTTCTCTCTAGCTTTCTCTCTGTCAAATAAATAAATAAATAAAATCTTAAAAGAAAAAAAAAGAAAAGGGAAAGAAAATGCCCCTCTTTCCTAGTTCAGTCTCAGGAGGACTCTTTCTTGCTTGCAAGCGTGGCCTGCTAGTTAACTCACACAAACTGGCATCATTACCTCTTTCCTGGCTCTTTATTCTATCGGGCTGGAGGGTGGCTGGAGCGTGGCTGGAGCACTGAGAGTACAGGGTTCTGGGAAAACAGAAGGGAAGAGGAATCTGAAAGTCATATTTTGAGGGAGACACTGAATTAAGAGAGCTGTCAACTGGTGCGGCTGAGTGGACCCAAGAGGTGCCTTAAGCCTCCCTGTAGAATTTCCATCACCTCCCCCTCCCAGAGCCATAACATCTCAGTAAAAACAATATGCTTACTAGACAAATACAGCTTTGAGAAAATTCTCTTTTACGCTTGCAACAAGGTTGCTTCCCAAGTGCACCCGCCTGCAGAATTCCTAGCACTGGGGCTGCTCCGTTCCCGTGTCTCCCATCGAACACCCTACGTGCCCACACAGTCTCAACTTAAGTGTGTGCGCTCCCCTCCTAGGAATTGACTTCAAGATCCGCACTGTGGATGTAGAGGGGAAGAAGATCAAATTGCAGGTCTGGTGAGTAAACCCCTAGAACTGCTGGGCACATTCCCTCATTTCCCTCCCAGCACCACTTCCCTCCCATGTTGCTTCATCTCTCTCCCTCTCCCCACCGCTCCTTCCGGTACTTCTCCCAGGCCACTTCCTGTCACCTCACTCAGACGACGTCATCCTTCCCACTTTCTTCCAGCTCGCTCAACTATTTTCAGCTGTTTTCTAACTCTCTTGCCTCTCCCAGCTCCAGAGCATTCTCTGAACTTGACACTAATTGTGTGCAGGGCTGCCACATGGAAATGGCATTGAAGCAGGTACACAGTAAGTAGCAGAATGGAGACTTTAAGTCTGTGAATGACGGAGGCCCAGAAAGCTGAGGATAGAGGGCTGTCCTGCCATAAGAAGCTGGAGACTCTGAAAGTGTGGAAGTGGCTGCTGGCTTGAAGAAGCTTTAGAATGCAACAGATCAGAGCAGATTGTGGTTTGGATTCTGGTTCTGCTGCAGAATGAGGTTCATTAGTTATTTAGCCTCTTGAAATCTCTGTCCTCGTTTGTAAGATGGACCATATAATGCGTCTCACAAGGGTAGGGCGAAGATGGTGCCTGGCACAGAGTAAGTGTTCAACAGATAAACCGAAAGACCTTGTTCCTTAGGTCTGTGTCATCTCCCAGCCGTCCTACCTCCTCTTCCCGCTTTACTGTTTTCTGATTCTATTCCTTTCAGCCCCACCCTGTCACGAGACCTAAATTCTTAGCAGGGGGAATTCTCTCTTTGGAGAATGATCCCCTCTCTCCTGCCCCACAAAATATTCCACTTCAGGGATACAGCTGGCCAAGAGCGATTCAAGACGATAACCACTGCCTATTACCGTGGAGCCATGGTACGAGGTGTGGGTCTGGACAGGGGTGAGGCAATAGATTGGAGGTTTATGAGTCCCCAGGGGCAGGGGTTGGGCAGGGAAAAGGGGAGGGGGCACAGTGTGGGAGGTGGAGGGCCCCACATGGACTAATGGGTAGCTTCACGGGTAGAACTTGCAGGAAGCCGAAATGGGGGAATGTGGCCCAAGGCTCCATGGTGAACCCTTGCCATCCCCCAGGGCATTATCCTAGTATATGACATCACAGATGAGAAATCCTTCGAGAATATTCAGAACTGGATGAAAAGCATCAAAGAGGTAAAGACCCTCCTGAAAAGACAGGAGACTAGGTAGAACCTGGAGGGTGAGGGGACCGTGAAGGTGAGCAGGACCTATCTTACCCTTCCTACCCTTTTGCTTCCAGAATGCCTCTGCTGGGGTAGAACGCCTGCTGCTGGGGAACAAATGTGACATGGAGGCCAAGAGGAAGGTGCAGAAGGAGCAGGCTGTCAAGGTGAGGGCTGGGCCACGACAGAGTTGGATCCCAGGGGGCCTCTACCCTTTACCCACCTCTCTTCTCCCTCCACTTCGCAGCTGGCTCGGGAGCATGGGATCCGATTCTTCGAGACAAGTGCCAAATCCAGCACAAATGTGGATGAGGTGAGACCCCCCCCATGTCCACCCCCACTCCCAGAGGTGGCTGTTGCACAGCAAGCCCGTCCTCCCCTCCAGCCTGTTCTCACCACTCACTGCTTTCCCCACCAGGCTTTCAGTTCCCTGGCCCGGGACATCTTGCTCAAATCAGGAGGCCGGAGACCGGTGAGTTGGTTCTGCTGGACTGGGCACAGCTGTGTGCACGTGTATGTGTTAGGAGTGAAACCCCAGGGGGGAGTAGTGCTAACACCGCCCCAGGGTGGGTCCCCTTCGAACAATGTATAGTCTCAGACCCCAGCCAGCTATTGTCACCCTGATCCCGGTGCCCTTCCACCTCTAGGGAAACAGCCACAAGCCCCCTGGCACTGACCTGAAAGCTTGTGACAAGAAGAACACCAGCAAGTGCTCCCTCGGCTGAGGACCCTAGGCCCGGAGGCTGAACCTGAGGGAGGCAGGGCTGTGGGTGGGCAGGGGAGAAACAGCAGGTGGGACTTGGAGGGGCTAGAGGTAGGTAGATGGTGGAAGAGTAGGGAGCAAATGGAGAAGAACACGGGAAGGCAAGAGAAGGAAAGTAGGTAGACTAGAGAGGGAAGGAGAGGCAAAGAGGAGAGAGAGGCGAGGGAATGAAAGGAGATGAGGGGGTAGGAAGAGACGGGAGAAGGAAAGAACCGGCCCTGGGGGTCAGACCTTCCCTGGGCTTTTAGGGCAGACATAAATGTAAATAAACAGTTGATTTGTTGTTACTGGATCAGGTTTTAGGATCAGGTTGTGTGAGAGGTTGGCTCACCTCACCCTCTAGGTTTGACCCCATGACTCTGCATGGTCTTGCTCACCCACACAAAGGTCCCTGGTTTGGGTGACTTTCATCATCAGACCTCATTCCTACCTCTAAGGTGGTTGGGCTGCCAGAATCGGGCTGGGTTCCTGTGACACCAGGACCTGTCCCTGAATGGGTGAAGAAAAGACCAAAGAGGTCCTCTGAACCTGGAGGTCTGGACATCCTCTTTCCATGATGGGGTTTAGAGGATCCTTATGGGCAAAGCCTTGCCTGGCTTCCAGAGGACTCTTAGGCCTTCCCAGGGGAGTGACAGCTCTAGACTCGAGGAAATAACAGGACCTGGTATTGTTTATCCTGTGATTTCTTCAAGCATCTCTGATTCCGCCAGCAATCCTTTTAGGTAGCTGGTAGGCATTATTTTCCACTTTTATAGATGAGGAAGATGAGACACGGAAGAAGTTCATTTAGTCATAATCTTTTTTTTAAGTATTTATTTATTAGAGAGAGGGCGCGCACGCACAAGGGCCGAGTGGGAGGGGGAGAAGCAGGCTTCCCGCTGAGCAGGTAATCTGATGCGGAGCTCAATCCCAGGACCCTGGGATCATGACCTGAGTCGAAGGCAGATGCTTCACTGACTGAGCCACCCAGGCACCCTAGTCATAAATCTTTTTTTTTTTTAAAGATTTTATTTATTTATTAGAGAGAGAGATCACAAGTAGGCAGGCAGGCAGAGGAAGAGGGAGAAGCACGCTCCCTGCTGAGCGGGAAGCCTGATACGGGACTCGATCCCAGGACGCTGGGATCATGACCTGAGCTGAAGCTTAACGACTGAGCCACCCAGGCACCCCCGAGTCATAAATCATTTTTTTTTTTAAGATTTTATTTATTTATTTATTTGAGAGAGAGAGAGAAAAACAGCATGAGAGGGGATAGGGTCAGAGGGAGAAGCAGGCTCCCTGCCGAGCCAGGAGCCCGATGTGGGACTCGATCCCAGGACTCTGGGATCATGACCTGAGCCGAAGGCAGTCTCCCAACCAACTGAGCCACCCAGGCGCCCCCGAGTCATAAATCTTTATTGAACATTTAGTTTGTGCCAAACACAATGGTCAAGTTTGGGTGGAACTTACAAGAAGAACAAGCAAATTTTAACAAAAACAGCTCCTAAGTACTGTATAAGAAAGAGGCAAACTGCAGGCATGCAAAAGAACGACCACCCAAATACTCAGGCTTGAGGCATAGTCCCCATAAACATACACAGCCCCCTTGGACCCTTGCACAGTAGTTTCTAAACAGCAGAATTCTCTCACAGATGACGTTTTATCAGGATTAATGAAAATATCACATTTGGCTTACACAAAATACCATTAGAAGTTTAATTTACAGATAGGAAGTTCAAGGCACTTCAGGAATCCCCACACTTGTGGCATGGAAATGGATGGCACAACCTGGGGTCAGCAGCAAAGCTTTCTGTGCTGCTGTTTGTTGGTAAAACACAACACCAGGAAAAAGCCTGACCGTGCTGGGAGAAGAACTGCGGAATGACTGGATACATGTGTTACCAAACTTCTATGGAGTAAAGATCAGGCCCAGGCTCTGTAGTCAACGATCCAGCTGGTGTGCTTTGCTCAAGGTTATGAGGAAAGGCTTGCATTTTGTGAATCCCAGGAAGAACACTGACTGACATATTCATCACACCCCAGAGCAGATGTTTTAAAATCCAGTTTCAGTGAAGAGACCTACTCAGTTGCTTGGTACACCTATAGGAAGTGAGAGCTTACAACTCTCATAGCTTGTCAAGAGACGTGGTCAGGTTTGATAAGAAGTAGTAACAGGACGCTAGAAGATTTCAGCCAAACTTTCCTAAAAGCTACTGGAAAATACTCACACCTACTTCCTGTAACATACAACTATTGACATGCACAAACAGTACCTTAAAGGAATGAGCAAATAGTCACAAGAAAAGTAAAGCTCAGGCTCAACTCCCACCTAATAATGACCTTTCCACAGTCTGATTGTTTCTGCTCTTGAGGGGCCAGCTCTACATCTGATGGGAAGACAGAATTCATGGGACATAGCACTGGTTATAGTTAATCCTAAAATGAAGTGCTGTAGCCCTTAGGGCTGTGGGGTGGAGGGAGCAGCTGTTGTATTTAGGCTAGGAAGACTTCTTGAGACAGGAGAATGTGGGGTAGGGCTAACAAAAAAGTCTGGGGACAAGCCCTTTCATCTTGAGAAGTGGGGGACAGATTACTATTAGTGACCATATTTATATGAATTTAAGTACCTCCTTGAACTTACACGGTCTGATTGTCTGGGAGGCTGTAAACCTACGTATATGTAAAATTAGGAGGAAAAGACAGGCAGAGTTCGGTAGTGAACCCAGAGTGCAGGCCAAGTCTCTGCAATTCTGGGTACATCCGTATGGAGGTTTCACTCCACGTGGCTGGAAAGCAGGGATGAATCTTTGGCCTTGGAATTGAACGTCTGGGCTCTCCCACCCACTCGCTGGGTGACCTTGGAAATCACTTCTACGCGGAACTTACAAAATAGGGACAACACCGGACACCTCAGGATTACTGAAGACCAAAATGACCTCAGTGTTGAATTCAAAAGTAGGATAGTAATGGGACCCAATGCAATCAGAGGATAAAGGAGATACTTAACGACACAGTTCATTCGCATCTCGCCGAAAACCCCCGGCAACTGCGCGTTAACCTTTCCGTTTGAGAGACCCCTGGGAGGCGGACGGCGCCGGCAGGTCCCGCCTCGATTCTTCCCGGGACTCCCACGGGCGGGAGCCGGAGGGCGGAGGCCGGAGGAGCTCCTCAGAGCCCCAGAGCCCCAGAGCCGGGGGCAGGCGGGAATCAGCCGGGCCCGGGCGCCGGCGTCTCGGCCGGGGCGCGGGAGCCCCTCCCCTCGGGGCCGGGGTAAGGCCCCGCGTGCGGCGCAGGGATTACGCAAAAAAATTGCTGAAGAATAGACGAGCACGCGAGAAGACGACTCCGCGCCTCGGGAGGAGAAGGCGCGGTGTCGCCTCGCCGCCGGGACCGTCGGGGCAGGACGTTCTCGGAGGCAGCGACGGACTGCCCCTTCCGTGCCGCTGCTCACCCCGCCCGGAACGGGCCGACGGGCGACTGCCCGGGGCGCCCCGCACCACAGAGGCCCGGGGCGCAGCGGACCCCGGCGAGCGGCGCGAGCCCGGCCCGCGGGCGCCAGCCGGCCGCTACCCGCGCGCCTGCGCCGAGCGGCCCGGCCGCGGGAACCCTCCCGGTCCCGGCATCCCCCGCGGCTGCGCGTCTCCCCCACGCCGTCCGCGGGCCCGGCATCCTCCGCGGGGAAGACGGCCGCGGCGGGCACGGCCCCGGCGGGGACGGGGCGCTAGGCCGTACGCCCCGCCGCCTGTCCCGAGGGCCGTGCGGGCCCGAAGAAGCGAGCTCACGGCCCAGTCCCACACATGCGCGCTGGCTTCTCTTGCCGTGGGCGTGGGGACGTCCCAGTAGTGCCTTTGCCCTGATAGGCAGCCCCAGCACTTCGCAGCCGTGACCTGAACCCCCCGGAGGCTGCCGTGTGAGCGCTCCGACGGAGGCTCAAGGCCGGTCAAGCAAGTCCCTCCGTCCCGGCCCGCGCGACACCGAGCCCTCCATGCCTGCGGGCGGACAGAGGCGGGGCCTCCCCCAGGGCAGCCACCTCTGCTGGTTGCTCTGCGTTTTCACCTTAAAGCTCTGGTGAGGAGAGGCTGAGGGCTGAGGAGGGCAGGGGCGGGAGGACCGCGTCGTCCGCGCCCCGGGGGCAGGGGTGGGGGCGGGGAGGGAGTGCGCGATCCTGCCCCGCGGAGGTGGGGGCTTCCCTGTTTTCTAGCTTCTGATTTGTGCCTCCCCACCCCCACCCTGCTTCCTCGCTGCAGCCAAGCCGAGGCTCCTGTGCGGGCGGAGCAGCTGTCAGGTGGGTGATGGTGTGGCAACTCGACACCCCCGTAGTGTTCTTGTGACATCCTCCCATGTAGCGGGAGCACAGGTGGGAAAGGGTGGCGCCACGTGCAAGGAAGCGTTCAGCTGAGAAGTTGGGTGGGCAGCGCCTTTGGGAGAGAGGTTTTCTAAGTGACGCCCGGGGCTGGCATTTCTCTCCCTTCTTAGTGAGCACCTCAAATTTGCCGTGCTGGCTGGTGGAAGAATTTGTGGTGGCGGAAGAATGTGCTCAATGTTCTAATTTCCAGGCTGTGAGTATTTATTTTCTCTCCTTTTTTTTTTTTTTAAGATTTTATTTATTTATTTGACAGAGAGAGAGACACAGCGAGAGAGGGAACACAAGCAGGGGGAGTGGGAGAGGGAGAAGCGGGCTTCTGGCCCAGCAGGGAGCCCGATGCAGGGCCCGATCCTGATGAGCCGAAGGCAGATGCCCAACTGACTGAGCCACCCAGGCGCCCCTAAAGATTTTATTTTAAGTAAGCTCTACTCCAGTGTAGGGCTGGAGCTCATAACCCTGAGATCAAGAGTCAAATGCTGACTGAGCCAGCCAGGCACCCCAGTCATGATCATTTTTAATCCAGTAAGCTCCAGAACCTGTCCTTGTTTCTCTTAGACTGTTGCTTCTAAAGTGTTCTTTTTTTTTTTTTAAAGACTTTATTTGACAGAGAGACAGACAGCGAGAGAGGGAACACAAGCAGGGGGAGTGGGAGAGGGAGAAGCAGGCCTCCTGCGGAGCAGGGAGCCCAATGCGGGGCTCAATCCCAGGGCCCCGGGATCATGACCTGAGCCGAAGGCAGACGCTTAACGACTGAGCCACCCAAGCGCCCCTCTAAAGTGTTCTTTCTAATATGTTTATCATCATGCAACCAATATATCCACCATCCCCATTAGAACTCTTTGTTGGTTCTCTGTTGCCCACCAGCGCTGAGCCATAGCAATTGGACACCTGCCCCTTCTGAATGGCATTCTTTCTGCTTCTGCTGCCCTTACCTGACATGTGCTTTGGTCCTTTTCTCCTGACAGAAAACCACCCCTGAATGTGGTTCCACAGGGTATGTGGAGAAAATCACATGCAGCTCATCTAAGAGGAGTGAATTCAAAAGGCAAGTGTTGTTTCTCATCTTGAAACCTCCTAGATCACCTTTTCTGTTCTTGTGATTTTAGGCAGACTAATAGCCTCACATCTTTCTGTCTGGAGGTAGTGTGGTATATTGGAAGAGGGGGGAACCAAAGTATTTGAACCCAAGTTCCAGCTCTACTTCTCAGCACTATATCATTGGTCTTATTTTCTCATCAGTAGAATTGGTTAATACCAGCTTTGTTTACCTCACTAGAAAATAAGTTGAACAATATATTTGAGTGGGATTTGTGTAGGGGAAACATGTTAGAAGGCTGACTGTGGCTTTTCCTCCTTTCCCCTCAGATGTATCTTGGTTAGGCCTCACTAGAAAGGAGATTGGAGGGAGAGGTGGTCCAGCCTTCCCTGGGAATAACTGTTTCTTCCTGCTCTTAGCTGCCGCTCAGCTCTGATGGAACAACACTTATTCTGGAAATTTGAAGGGGCCATTGTGGGTGTGGCCTTGGTCTTCGCTTGCCTTGTCATCGTTCGTCAGCGACAGCTGGACAGAAAAGCTCTGGAAAAGGTCCGGAAGCAAATCGAGTCCATATAGCTACCTTCCACTCTTTGATAGAGGTCTTAGGGATTGTACCTCGAACACAGACAGTAGAATGAACGGACTTGTACCCTTCATTCTTGGGAAGTTGTGGTGGCACCTCCTTCTCTGTCTCTTGTCTAGATCATTAACGAGCAAAGTATAGAATAGTTTTCTTCTCTATTATAATTTGGTTTGGGACAGGAAGTTCTGGTGGCAGAAATGGAATAGCAACTTTAGGCCCCAGTTTACCAACTACCTATCTTCCCCTTTTTCTGGTACTTATTTAAAATTTTCAGGATATAATTTCAGCAAAAAAGTTTTATTTCTCAGCCAAAACCTCTGTTTCCCCCAACCCTAACCCCAAAGAAAAAATAAAATTGCAGATGTGTAACAAAAGTATCTGAAATGCCTCCTCACATAGCCTGGGCCTTGGGGTACAGACGCTTAGGCGGTCTTGAAATGATTCAGACCCCTGAGGCCAAAGAACTCTGAATGGGAATCCCAGGGGGAACCAGAGCCATGGGGGAATCCTGGATTCCTTATTGCAGCTGGGAAGTGGGCTGGGAAATGTTCTAGCTCACATCTCATCTGCATGCAGGCCAGTTCTGGCATGCCCACTGGGGTCTGTCTTCCCTCCCATCTTCTCCAGCAGGGTCCTTGTTGAGCTATTTACACCCTTGACCCTAGGTGGCTCCTCCAATCTGGACTCTACCACTATGGTCTTCAAATTTTCTGTCATGTCCTTGTGAGTCAGGATATTTCTGGAAATCACTGTGGGGTGAAAGAAAAAGGGCAGTAACAGAGTGCTCCCGTGGGTGGGGGATCCTAGACAGGACACGACCTCCCTCCCACCTCTTGACTACCCTGGAAAACCCCACCCTGCCCCTGCCTCACCTCCATGAGGCTGGTGATCCTCAGTCCCAGCTTCCTGGAGACCCTGCAAGGGGCTGACACTGGGCAGGACGATGAGAGCCAGAGAAAAAAGAAGGATCTGGAGAAAGCAAAAGGACACTTGGACTGTGGGGACACTAAAGGAAGAGACCCAAGGGCAGCATGAACAGAGGGCAGTTGGAATCATCAGGGATGGGAAGGTGGATATGGTTGGGAGTGGGGGGAGATGGGAAGTAGAGAGTACCAGAACACAAGTGCTGGTCTGGGCAGCTTTGTTGGAGGTTTGGGCAATGAGCATCTGCAGCTGGCGGAGCTGAGTTACCAGGGAGCTGGGGAAGGAGGAATGAAGAATCAGCTCTCCTGGGAGCTGGTGCCCCTGTGTGCCACTCGCCCTTCCCCCCCGGGGGCGCACACTATGCTTTCACTTACATATTGTGCCTCTCCAGCTCCTGGACTTTTTTCTGTAGTTCCTGGTTCTGTGCAGAACAGGCAGCCGCCCTAGGGAGTGTGGAAAGGTAGGACAGTCTACAATCAGGTGGTCCCTGACCTTGCCTGCCTTGGTAAGGAAGGATGCCCAGACATGGCCCACAGGGGGCCAGACATGTAAGTCCACACATACCTGCTCTCTAGCCCGTCGATGTACTCTTTCTTCCGTCGCCGACTGTCCTGAGCTGACTGCTTGTTACGGATCTTCCTCCTGACCTTCTTGAGGACCCTCTCCTCTGCCTAGGGGCCCAGGGTGTGTCAGTCCTGGGCCCCTAACCTCCCTCAATTCCCCACTTGCCCCTGTAATCCTGGCTCTTCAGAGGCCATGATGGGGCCACTGGGTTGGGGTTGGGATGCCCTTTGGGGAAGCATGTTACCTTGGTGAGGGGCAGGTGAGTGGGCAGGGAAACCCCTTCCTGTCCCAGCAGATGCTTCTCCTCCTCTGTCAGGAACAAGGTTTGACAGGGCAGCTGGTGGAGAACAGAGATCAATGAGAGGGGGAGAGGGTCTTCCCTTTCCCATTACCCAAGGCCACTCCCCCTGCATGCCTTCGGGCGAGAGTTTCTCATTTGCACTAAGGAATAAGTAACCATGAAAATGAGGTGAGGGAAGGGACCTTCATTCAGACAGGCTCTGGACCAAGCCAAAGGGGCCTCCTGGGGCTATGAAGGGAGAAAAGAGGGCTTGTGTTACATCCTTTGCCCCCAGACTTAGGACCTTGGCACTCTGAGCAAACTAGGGAGGGCTTGTTCTGGTCTACACCTCTCCAGACCTTAAGGGTTTTTTAGAGACAGGGAGGAACTCACTAAGGTGGGGTTTACTTAATCTCACAGCAAGCAAATGATTCACTTTTGACCACTAACTTCCATTTGGCAGAGTGTGTTGTCTCATCAGGGTCAACCTCAGGGAGCTTCCTGGGGTAGTGACCGGTTTTCCCTCAGAGTTTGAGCCCCACTTTCAAGACTGAAGCTCTGTCTCCTCTCAAAGAACTCCCAAGAGCCACGAGATTTAGCAGCTTCTCGTAACACAGTATGTGGGGCAGGTAGGTGACATCTGATGAACCTGAGCCTGTAACTGAGTAAGCTGCCTTTCTGCTACTCCTTTTTGAAATATTTATGCTTCACTTTGACTTCAAAGGAATTTGTTTCTGCTATTGACTCCTGATGGTCTTTGGCTTTTAGCCAAACCATTTCTTGTCTTGCATTTTCTTGATGATCCCTTCTTGCTCCCCTGAAACCACAAACTCCCCAGTATTTTGATGTGAACACAAGCCTAGAAGCATCAGACTTCTTAAGGTCCCTCAATCCTGAGCTGCTTGGCTTGGACTCTGGTCCCAGCTTCAACCACAGACTGGCAGGAAAGCTAGAACCTGTTCCTATGTTTTGCACACAAGCAGTTCTTTCCAGTGACTGTTGGTCAACAGTGACCTGAGCAAGACTCCTTCTCACCCCCCTGCTGGAAGCAGTGCAGCCAGCCTTCCGAAGGCACCCGGTGTGTGACCCCCTGGGCAGTGGGCGCAGCTGCACGGTTGTTCCGGCAGAAACTTCTACACCTTGTGCCTCCGAGCAGGCTGAATTCCCAGGCAGCCCATCCCACTCCGTGTTCTGACCTGTGGCTGAGTAAACTGCACACAAGTTCTGGGCTTTCTCCCAGGCCCTTTCCCCAGATTGCCTCATCCTACCTTCTCCTTAATTATCACCACCTTACCTCTAAGGGCTTCTGTCTCCCTTGTCCTTTCCCGCTCTTAGTTGCTCATGCCTCTCTGATCTTCAGGCCCACAAAAATTGGGGCAAAGAGTTTAGCATCAGTTACCCCCCTCCCTCGCCCCCTTTCCCCTATCTGTGTGGGTACATATCGCTGTATCCAGGGGTACTGGATCTGGCTGACTGAAGACTCACCAGGGTCACAGGAGGCACTGGGTTTACAGTGCCCGCTCTGGGCAGGGTGTGAGTGTGAGCATCAAGGGGCAGCTCGAGGACCGTGCAGGCATCAGGCACCATAAGTGGTGGGCTTCGCTGATCTGAGGGAGACACAGGTAGCTAGGAGAAAGGAGATGAAGGGTATACCCTAATGGCAGCAGGGCCTGGGGAGAGGCACAGGTTGGCGAAACCCCTTAGCCCCAGGACTAGGGCTGGACCTGAAAGGCCATTGTCCCCTTCCCACAAAGAACACTGACCTAGCTGGAGAGAGATGAGCCCTACAGCTGGCCCAGCTTCCCCTTGCATCCTCTCCAGGCCCCCTGCCTCATAGATAACCTCATAGAGAGCAGGGGAATTGGGTGCTTTGGGGGCAGGAGGACTGTCTGGATGGCCAGGGTCCTCGGAGATTCCACTGTCACTACCAGGAGATGCTTCTGAGCAGTACACTTCATTGGGATCAATGAAAAGTTTCAGGAAATCTTCAGGCTCACTCTCTTGAAGGTCCTACAGTATAAGAGAGTGGATATGTGTACAGAGAAGCGTTCTGGAGAGCTACCTGACATCAGACCCAGATCCGTCCCGCTTCAATTTCAGTCCTCTGTGTCCTTGGACATGGGGGTAGTTACAGCTCATGTCCACCCTAGGGGCTTGGCTCGGCCCACCCTCTCCTGCGTTCCTCACACTCACACAGCCACGGCTCCCGCTGGGCTCCCAGCCTCGAAGCCCCTGTTCTTGGAGCTTAGTCCCTGGGACCTCTGGAGGGGGGCAGTGGAGTCCCAGCTCCAGGAAGGCTCCTGTTGAGACCTCTTCTGGGGGCTCCAGCCACACGTCCAGCAGGTCGGGGGTTCGGAAGTCCATCCTGCGGGGAGAGCTGCAGGAGGGTCAGAGCACCCTCCCCACACAGCTGCTGGGTTCCCCCTTCCTCACCTGCCACCCGGGGATCTCCTATCACCCCCCTTCCTCACCTGCCACCCGGGGATCTCGCCTCCGGCCTTATCTCTGCTTCAGACGAACGGGCCCACCGCCTCCGTGCTGTTCCAAAGAGCCCAGCCCTGCCAAGCCCGCCCAGCCCGCGGGCTGCCCGGAACACCGCCGCTCTTCTTCCTTCCAGGATCTCGCATCCTGGACCGGCCCAGCCAAGCCCCGCCCCCAGCCTGACACCCGGAGTGCAAAGTGGGTTGCCCCTGGCCGGGAGCCACGGCGGGGGCCTGCACCTGCGAGCTGGGGGTTGGGAGCCTAGGCGTCCGCAAACTGGACTTCCGGAAGGCGCCGGCAGCCTCGCCCTCTCTGCCTGTTTCTCCTAGCGGCAGCAAATCTTCCTGGGAGTTTGGGGGCTCTTTAGGGAAGGACGGTGATGGCTGTGACCGGCGCACACGAAGTGCCTTTTCTCCTGCCGTCACTTGTGTCAGACGAGCGCACGACAGGCTGGAAAACAAAACCGGAAGGCGGCGACCCGGCCGCCGGAGACTCGCGGAGGCACCCCCCCCGCCAGTCCCGAGGCGCTCTTTCCACTCTCGGGCCTGATTGGACGCAAGAGGTTTGAGGGGCAGGATATGGAGCCAATGGGAGTGCCGTCTCGAGGCAGGCTGCGCGCTGACTGGCCGGGGGGCTGCCGAGGGAGGCGGGCTACCGCGCTGGCCGCCCGGGAGGATACCGAGGCCCCGCGGCTGCGAGTCCGGGGGACAGGTGCGGAGAAGCTGGGAAGTTCCGAGGACGCCGGGCGGGGTGTGCGGGGGCGGGGGTAGAGGAGCGGCCGCCTTTGCTTCCGCTTGCCGCGTGACTGCCGGGCCCTGCTTAGGACCCGGGCGAGGGTGACTAACCTGTCGGCCCAGCTGGAGCTTTGAGCGCGGAAAGTCGCGCCCAGTCTGCATCTGCGCGTTGGCTGCTGTGTCCACGCTCCCGGGGCTCCGCTAACTGGCGGGGCGGGGCGGGGGCTCGAGGGGCTGGGAAACTGAGAGGTTAAAAAGGCATTGAGGCTCGGTGTGGGAATTTGTCTTAGTGGGTGTCATTGCCAACAGTAGTATGTGTCCTGCATTTATATAGTTCACAAATTTTCATAAACATTGTTCTCTCATTTAATCTCTGAAGTAGACGGGGCAGGAAATATTTTACTAACTTTACCGATGAAGAGACAGAGATCGTGATTAGAAGGTAGTAATACCAAGACTCGTGATTGTTTGCCTTGGCCTAGTGACTGATGGGCGAGGAAATCATTTCAAATATAGTAATGGAGCTACCCTCTGTGAATAAAGCAGGAAAGTTTGGGGTGTGGATCCAGAATTCAAACTGGTATTCTTCCTTTCCTTTCCTTTCCTTTCCTTTCTTTTCTTTCTTCTTTCTTTCATTTTATTTATTTGACAGAGAGAGAGACAGCGAGAGAGGGAACACAAGCAGGGGGAGTGGGAGAGGGAGAAGCAGGCTTCCCGCAGAGCAGGGAGCCCAATGTGGGACTCGATCCCAGAACCCTGGGATCATGACCTGAGCCGAAGGCAGACGCCTAACGACTGAGCCACCCAGGTGCCCCTCAAACTGGTATTCTCCTCATGAAAATTGTATGTGCTGAGGGTAAAGACAGGAACAGGATTGAATATTTATTGAGTAACTATCAGATGCTCAGGCATTTTCACATCACTCATATAATTCTCACAGCAAGTCATAGCTGGAAAAGAGAAGTAACTTTCTCAAGGTTACTCTGTAAGTAGAACCAGGGTTTGGATGCCTGAGCCTACATTCTTTGCACTATACTAAGCTATCTTGCTGGGGCTTTCTCAAATTTCCTGCTCATCTTCCTGCATTCCTGCTCATCTTCCTGCATTCCTGCTCAAGTAGTGAGGAGACAAAGCAGGCTTCCTAGATCGATGCAGAGCTCGAAGGAAAGAGCTGTCCTTGCCTAGATCTTTCCTAGAGTAAGAAAGGTTTCAAAGGGCTTCCTGCAGGTTGCAAGTGCAAAGATGATTACGAGGAAAATATAATCAGCTTCCATTAATTAGAACTGGAAGGAACCTCTGGCATCATCTTCTAATCTGACTTCCCTCTTTCACCTGCTTTATCAAGTTCTGAGAGGAAAGAGGACTTGCTTAAGATCACACATCAGGGGCGCCTGGGTGGCTCAGTTGTTAAGCGTCTGCCTTCGGCTCAGGTCGTGATTCCAGGGTCCTGGGATCGAGCCCCGCATCGAGCCCCGCATCGAGCCCCGCATCGAGCCCCGCATCGAGCCCCGCATCGGGCTCCCTGCTCCGCGGGAAGCCTGCTTCTCCCTCTCCCACTCTCCCTGCTTGTGTTCTCTCTCTCTTGCTATCTCTCTGTCAAATAAATAAATAAAATCTTTAAAAAAAAAATCACACATCAAATTAAGGTAGAGGAATGCCTGGCTAGCTCAGTCAGTGAAACAGGCCACTTTTGATCTCAGGGTTGTGAGTTTAAGCCCCACGTTTGGCGTAGACCTTACTTTAAGAAAAATTTTGGGGCCGCCTGGGTGGTTCAGTCATTAAGCGTCTGCCTTAGGCTCAGGTCATGATCCCTGGGTCCTGGGATCCAGGCCCGCATCGGACTCCGTGCTCAGCGGGAAGCCTGCTTCTCCCTCTCCCACTCCCCCTGCTTGTGCTCCCTCTCTCGCTGTCTCTCTCTCTGTCAAATAAATAAATAAAGTCTTAAAAAAAAAAAAAGAAAAATTTTTACAAAATACACACATAAAAAAATTAATATTAAAAAAACAAATTGGGGTGCCTGGGTGGCTCCGTCAGTTAAGCGTCCGACTCTTGATTTTGGCTCAGGTCATGGAATTGAGTTCTGAGTTGGGCTCTGCCCTCAGCGGGGAGACTGCTTCAGGATTCTCTCTCTCACTCTGCCCCTCTCTGCTCACTCTCTCTCTCTCAAATAAATAAAATCTTAAAAAAAAAAAAATTAAGGTAGAGCTGGGACAAGTACCCGGGTGTCCTGTCTCCCAGTCCATGATTCCTTGTTAATGTTACTAATTATCAATAATTTTAAGAGGTGCCTGGGTGACACAGTCGGTTAAGCATCCAACTCTTGGTTTCGGTTTGGGTCATGATCTCCAGGTCTTGGGATCAAGCCCTGAGACAGGCTCTGTGTTCAGCATGGAGTTTGCCTGAGATTCTCCCTTTCCTTCTGTCCCTCCCATTCATGCTGTCTCTGTCTCTCTCTAAAATAAATAATCTTTAAAAAATAATAATCTTGAAAGCATAATTTACCACAAACTGCAGCTTGCACAATATTCTCTCAAATAATTAGGAGTTTCCTCTTTTTTAAATTTTTAAAAATTTTAAAAATTTTAATTTATTTATTTGAGAGAGAGCGCGCACAAGCCTGGGGGAGGGGCAAAGGGAGAGGGAGAAGCAGGCTCCCCCCTGAGCAGGGAGCTGGATGTGAGGCTCTTGATGCCAGGACCCTGGGATCATGACCTGAGCTGAAGGCAGATGCTTAACTGACTGAGCCACCCAGGCGCCCTAACGCAATAATAATTATTAAATGATGGTACAGTACTATCCCGTTTCACCTACATCCTGATCTTAGAGTCCTATCTGATTCCTTTCTCCTGGGCTCTCTCCCTCAAAAAGTCCTCACATTCCCTCTTAGGGAAGTTTCTGGCCTCCATTTCCAGAGCCTTAGAGACATTACTCCCGCCTCTTCTTGAGACAATGAGGTCTTTTCGCCTTTGAAAAGACTAGGCTGAGCCCCCTTCTTTATTTCCTCTTTTATATCCTACCCTCCCATGGGGTTAGAAGATTCTGATAGCACAGGGAATGTGGGTCAAAAGGATCCAGGCTAAGGAAACAATGAGGGTCCTGAGTTGAAAATACTTTGGTGCAATCAAGGAACAGAAAAGAGAAGGGAGGCCAGCAGGGCTGGGGTCAGAGGAGTTGCAGAGTTCAAGGTGAGTTTGAGAGAACCCTGTTAGATGCCCTGAGGCATGGTAAGGATGGTAAGTTGGAGCCAGCTGAGAGCAGCTCTTCACTGGGCAGGTTTTGGGCCACCCCTGTGCTGGGTCCCACCAGTTCCCTGCACACTCTCAGAGAAGACGGAAGGCTGCACAAAAGTGCGCTCAGGCCACTGGTAGTCAAGAAGGGATGATTTTCAAGAAATGCCCTCTCTTCGCTATTTCCTTTTTCCAATTCTGCCTTGTCTTTTTCCTTTGTTGTGGGTGCCGGAGAGGGAAGTCAAGCAAGGAAGTCAGTCCTAAGAAGAGAATGTTTTCCCTCTGGCGCCAAGGTGCGCGGAAAGGGTATTAGAGTCTTCCAAGAGATGGTTAAGAAGACGCTGCCCAAGACCAGGAAGAAAACCTCAGCGATGCAGAGCGGAAGACTTGGGAATGCGGGGTGGGCTCGGACTCCCGCCTCGCCCGCGGGTGTTCTAGCTTCCGGCCAGCCGGGCCAGTCCTACCGCCCCGAGGCGCCCCAGGCCCGCAGCCCCTGGGCCCGCCCCCTCGAAGCCCCGCCCCCAACAGCCCGCTCGCCGGCCTCTGATTGCCCCCAGAGCACGTCACTCCTGGCAGGGCCCCGCCCCCTGGCGCCGTCATTGGCCGGCGGCGGCGGGGAGGCGGGACGCGGCGGGGCGGGGTCCCGAGTCGCGGCGGAACCCGGCGGCTGCGGCGGAGGGGGCCCTGGCGAGGTGAGTGTGTGCCCGGGCCGTGTGGGCTGGGCGGCCTCGGCCCGCCGCGACCCCGCCGCCTGGGGCCCCTGGCGGTGGCCGTGAGCGCGCCGCTCTCCGCTTCCGGCGCGCGGCTGGTGAAACGGGAGCGGGGAGTGATCCGCCCCAAACTCGCCCTGCCCAGGTGGCCCACGAAGCGCCCCGCGACAGCTCTGCGCAGCCCGACCCCCTCTGCTCCGTCCCCTCCTTCCTGCGGGGTTCCCGGCCTCTCCTCTCCCGGGAGGACCGAGCTTCAGGTGAAAGAGTAATGAGACGTCCACACCGCCCTGACGCCGGATCCCCCGCGCGGGGTCCCCGAATGAGCCATCTGAAGGGGCGCAGTCTGCGGGGGAAGGGGACCGTTCCCAGTCCGGGAGTGCATGAGTCACACTGGGCTGGGGAGGCCGGGGGGCGGCAGGGTGAGGGGGCTCCCGCCCGCTGACCAGCTCTCCCCTCTGCTTGGCCCGGTCTTCAAGTGACCATTGCCCCACTCGCGTTGTCTTAGGTCCGAAAGTCGTTGGAGCGCTACAGCCACCATGGGGCCCTGGGCGGAGCCAGAGCTCCTGGTGTGGCGCCCGGAGGCGGTGGCCTCGGAGCCCCCGGGGCCCGTGGGTCTGGAGGTGAAAATGGGCGCCCTGGTGCTGCTGCTCTTGCTCACTCTTCTCTGCAGTCTGGTGCCCATCTGCGTGCTGCGCCGGCCTGGGGCCGGCCCCGAAGCCTCAGGTGAGCCTCTCCTGTTCCCTGCTGGGTTGGGGAGGGCTCTGGGGGCTGCGGAGGTTCCCCTAAAGACGGGAAGGCAAGAGTGACCGTTGCTTGGGTTGGGGCAGTGAGGCTTGAGGGTGTTCATTGCTCACTCCCGTCTGTGCTCCACTCCTGTCCAGCCTCCCGCCAAAAAGCCTTGAGCCTAGTAAGCTGCTTCGCAGGGGGTGTCTTTCTGGCCACCTGTCTCCTGGACCTACTGCCTGACTACCTGGCTGCCATAGATGAGGCCCTGGCAGCCCTGCACGTGACGGTGAGCCCTTTCTGCTGCATGTGACCCTGTGGGGGGGGGGTGTTCAGTCACACACCCGTGGGAGACGCGCTCCGTGACCGTGTGACCGTGTGGAAGGCGCCTAGCATGGGACCCTATGAACTGTGACTTTTAGGGATGGGGCATAACTCTTCCTGGGGTGCTCCCCTTCGCCCCCAGTCCCTCTGTACCTGCCATGCACTCTTTGGGTCACTGAGGGGAGCCTTGTACAGGCATGTGACCCACTCTGTGAGTTTCTCAGTCACAGCCTCCAAGAATCATCTTCACTCTCACACCACTTTGCTGGCAGTAGAGGGCCCTCGAGGCCTGGGAAGGGTGGGAGGCCTGGAGTTCCTGACCTAAAACGCCACAACCCAAGGAAGTAGGATGTGAAGAAGGTCAAGTACAAGGCGTAGGGAAGTCTCAGGGGAAAAGCTGAGACGGTGTGTGGAGGTGCCAGGAGGGCACCCTGCGCTCTTCCTCGTCCTAAGGCTGGGGAAGTAACACAGGATGTAACTTCTGTGAGCGAGTGACCGGCCACCCCGTATGACTGTGTAAGTCTCAGTGGCCCCTGAGAGTTTGTGGCTCTGTGTGTGAGCATTTGGTGAGGTGGGCAACGTGTGATCCTGTGTGCGTGCGCGCCTACGTGTCTGCATCAGTCACTCTCAGCTGGCGGTGGTTTTGCACCCCCTTCACAGGGAGCATTTGGTAGTGTCTGGAGACCTTTTTGGTTGTCACAATTGGGAAAGGAAGGCTTTGTGCAGGCTAGGGATTCTGTTAAACATCCCACTGAGCATAGGACAGCCCTCCAAAATGAAGAATTATCCAACCCAAAATGTTAATGGTGCTGAAGTTGAGAAACTGGTCTATATGTGTAGTGCTGTGAGCGACACTATCATCTATGTGATTGTGTGTGTCTTTGTGTAACTGAGAGTAGCCCTGCATCTGTGGGGGACCCTAAGTCTGTATAACTGGGAGTCCTCGAGACTCTGAATTTGACTCTTCCCCATTGTTGGCCTGTCTCCTGAATTTCTTGCTGCCCTATTTGCCCACAGCTCCAGTTCCCCCTACAAGAGTTCATCTTGGCAATGGGCTTCTTCCTGGTCCTGGTGATGGAACAGATCACACTAGCTTACAAGGAGCAGTCAGGGCCACCACCTCGAGAGGAGACAAGAGCTCTGCTGGGAACAGCAAATGGTGGGCCACAGCACTGGGATGATGGGCCAGGGGTCCCACAGGCAGGTGGAGCCCCTGCAGCCCCCTCAGCCCTGCGTGCCTGCGTACTGGTCTTCTCCCTGGCCCTGCACTCGGTGTTCGAGGGACTGGCGGTGGGGCTGCAGCGAGACCGGGCTCGGGCCCTGGAGCTCTGCCTGGCTTTGCTGCTCCACAAGGGTATTCTGGCAGTCAGCTTGTCCCTGCGGCTGCTGCAGAGCCATCTGCGAGCGCAGGTGGTAGCTGGCTGTGGGATCCTCTTCTCATGCATGACACCTCTGGGCATTGGGTTGGGTGCGGCTCTGGCAGAGTCGGCTGGGCCACTGCACCAGCTGGCCCAGTCTGTGCTGGAGGGCATGGCAGCTGGCACCTTTCTCTATATTACCTTCCTGGAAATCTTGCCCCAGGAGCTGGCCACTTCTGAGCAGAGGATCCTCAAGGTCATCCTGCTCCTTGCAGGCTTTGCCCTACTTACTGGCCTGCTCTTCATCCAAGTCTAGGGAGCTCCAGGTGCCCTTGACCTTCCTTTTCCACCCCAGCATATGAAAATAAGGAGTGGAGAAGGGAGGATTGAGGATCAAAGGGTTCTCTGGGAGATAGGGATGGAGTCTTTGGGATTATCTGACCAATGGGAGGGATGTGGTATTCAAGAGCCTGGCCCCGAGGGACAAGGGATAGTCCTATCACTAAAGACGTGATCAGTGATTCACAATGGGGAAGACACTGAGTGTTAGAATCCAGGGTCACACTACATACAGGGACGAGCTGACGATGGCAAGGCTGGGAGCGGGCACCCCGCCGCTGCGGGATGGAGGTGTGAGAAGGCACAGCCCAGAGGCAGCAGTCCTGCTGGTTCTAGCCCACTTCAGCCCTCTGTCACTTGGCGTGGAGTGGACTCCTTCTTTTCTTAGCGCCTACTCTATCTCCCGCTTCCCTTCTCCCAGGGGACTGGTGCCAAATGGCCTCTTCCTGCCAGTTTGGTACCTTCTTTGGCTTCTCTAGTCCTGCTCACTTCTCTATTTTTAAAGTGCCAAATAAATCCCTTCCCTCTTTGTCAAAAAGCACAGTGATGGCACTGAACCCTGCCCAACACCTCAGCGGAGGGGCCCTGCTTGCTCTTTTTTTTGGAGGCAGGCCTGTTTGCTGAGTTGAGGTTGGGGGAGGGTTGGCAGAGATACGGCCCCCCACCACTACTGCACCCTGGGAATACTGAACATGGAACTGGTGCCCCATGCCCAGATGAGAAATACTGAGCTGCCAAATTTTTTTTTATACCAGAGGAGCCCAAGGGGAAAGCTCACCCCCAGCTATTTTTGGGGAGGGAGGGCTGTGGATAGAGCCATGTTCTCTAGAATCTATTTTACTAACTGACCTGTTTTGGGACTTGTTACCCAAATAAAAGATGTTTCTATACATTTGTGCAGTGTCTGATTCATTTGTCTTGGGCAAGGGGTGGGCACGTAGCCAGTCTGAGAGGGCCTGAGTCCCAGACGTTTATACCTGTTTTAATATCCCTACTCTCACTGCTTTCATTCAGGCTCCGTAGTCCCCTTCCTCGAAGACCCAAATTTTCCCTCTTTTGTTCCTTCCTTCTTCCCGCCCTGTCTCCACCCCTTCCCCTTCCTCCCCAATCCTTCCCTCTCCTGCATCCTGCTCCCCTTCACGGTCGGAGCTCAAGACCAACTTAGAACTACTTTTCCCAGCTTGCCCCGCGCAGGGAGGAGCCGGGGGGAGGAGCCAGGCTCCCAGGCCCCGGGGCCACAGGGCTGCTGGGAAATGGAGTCCGCTTCCTGTCCGCGCTGCTCGCCTGGGGCCGCGCAGGGGTCACGTAAACAAACTACAGTTCCCGGCGGCCCTCGCGCGCGGCAGGTCCGGGCTAGGCTGGGGCCGGGCTCGCGGTGCTCGCCGAGGCGGCGGCGGCGGCTGCGGCTGGAGGCGCGGGCCGAGGCCCGCGGCGGGACCGTGGCTTGTCCGGGAGGGTGGCGGGGAGGGACGCACGGGGAAGATGGCGGCGGCGGGCGCGAACGGGCCCGGCTCGGCCGCGGCCGCAGCTTCCAATCCGCGCAAGTTTAGCGAGAAGATCGCGCTGCAGAAGCAGCGTCAGGCCGAAGAGACGGCGGCCTTCGAGGAGGTGATGATGGACATCGGCTCCACCCGGGTGAGGGGCCGCCGGGGGCGCGGGAGCCGAGGGCGCAGTCCCGGAGCGGGGCGCCGGGAGGCGGGGCGGGGGCGGGGGCGGGCGCCGCCGCGAGGGAGGCGGAGCGGGGCCGCCGCCGTCCGGGAGGCGCGGGTGGAGGGCCGAGGGGCAGGAAGACGGGCTTGCGGGGGAGGCCGGGAGCCGGGGAGCGGGGCCGCGAGGGGGCGGCGGCCGGCGGCGATCCCGTGCATCCCTGCTTGAGCCCCTGGGGACGCTCCTGCAGCATCCCCGAGCTGGGGCCGTGGCGGGGGGCATGGTCCGCTCGCCCCAGCCCGGCTGCTCCGAGGCGGTGTCTCCTCCAGTCCGGTCCCTCTGCCCTGCTGTGCCATTCTCGGCACTTCGGTGCCTTCGGGAAAGGGCCCCTTGGGTGTTTGCGCGCCGCAGCGCTGAGTCTAGTGGGGCAGGAAGTCCCCTCCTGCGTCCCTTCCCTTTGCTTCCTTTTTCAAATATTTCTTGTGGTTTCCTGACGTGAATGAAGGTGAGGTCCATTGCTCGCAGACTGTGCTTAATGTCTTGCCCTGGCCACCGCGGAGGGGAGGTAGGACTTTGAAGCTCCAAAGCGGGTAACCAGTTGGCTATAGGTCAGGTTTGCTGAGCTTTCTGGGAAGGTGGCTGCTTCGTGGGTCAGTTATAAGGTGCCCCTGAGGGTCTCCTGTGGCTGGGGATATTCATTCCTAAACAGTTCCAGAAAAAAGACATCCTGGCACGGTTGCCTCTGAAGCCCCTCTGGCCTTCCTTTCTTGCTTTCCAGGGCTGAATATCAGAGGGAGTGAGGGTGGGAGTCTGCCCAGCTGGTGTGCAGTCCTAATTTAGGGACACGTTATTCTCAAAACAGCAGGTGAGGCTATTGCAGTGATCCCTCATGGCGGAGCGCTGGAAGGAACTCACGGGGAGATGGTGGCACAGAAAGACGTTTCTGATCTGACTGTGGTTGCCTCTGTGACCGCGACTCCCGTTGTACTTTTGTTTGTGTTTCCCCTGTTGGTTTTTCTTGTGTTTTTTTCCCTTTGGGTCTCTAGAGACCACGTGTCCTAGTTTGTGGGAGTCAGAACAGAGAGAGTTAGGGGGGAAGCATATCGTGTGTGTGTACCCACACAACTCCCTCTGAATGCCATGAGGATCATGATCTGTTGACTGCTCCCCTTTAGGAGCTTTTGCTCATGGTGGGTGCGGAGGCAAGGAGGTGGGCGAGAGGCTCGGCCTGACGCCCTGTCCTCTGTCTGGACCGTGACTCCAGCAGAGGCAGGGTGGGATTTTAGGGTTTGTGTGTACAAACAGAAAGGCTGTGAGAAGCTCAGAGCTGAGGCCTCTGTCTTTTTAGCGCCTTGGTTTGTCCAAACACCCCTTCTGCCCACCTTGCCCCTGCAGGTTGCCTCGCTGCTGCACATAAATATCTAGTGGGCGTACAAGGCCGGGGCTCAGGGACCCAAGAGTCTAAAGCTAGAGATAAGAGATCTGGGGCTTAGCTTAGCTGAGAGGGCTCTTTTGAGGCAGCTACAGCCATGGGGGCCTAGAGTGCTGAGGGGCTAGGGTTAGCACATCTACTAATAGCAATCTTGAGCGGCCCAAAGGTTTACATAGTGTCTGCTAAACTCAGTGGGCTGATCACTTGGAACAGAAAGTCAGTTCTGATGTTGGCCTCTGCACAACAGTGCATGACCCCCAGAAGTTCATCAGCTGCCCTACGTCCATTTTTTGGCAGGTTGCAGTGGTTGAGCCTCAGAAGTAGGTGTTCAGCTCTCACGGAAGGACTTAAGATCTGTAGACAGACTGACGCCGTGCCAGACTGAGGGTTGTGGTGTCTCACTGCCGTGCCAGATACATCTCCCCAAAGTGGGGGTCAGGCCAGGCTGAACTGGGTTATCGCTCCCTCTCTCGGCACCGTTCTCAAGGCTTCCCTCTCCATTCAGGGGCTTTAGAACTAGGTAGAAGAAGACTGCTTCTTGGCTTCAGCACTGTTTTTCCAGCTGGGAGAGCCATCATTTCCTAGGTGTTCTAGTTTGGGTGGTGCAGGCTCTGTGTAGCTTTCCTGAGGCAGGCCAAGTGGCAGAAGCCTGTGCCCTCCAGAGTGGGAAGGAAAGAGGTTGGCGATAATGGCTCTGTGGCATCCACCTGTGGCCTTCCCCTCATGTTCCAATTAGCCCTGGACGCATCTGGAAGGGAAAGCGAGGTGCCTAATAGGCACCCTTCCCAGGAGCTGACCCATGTGACTAGCTTGGGGGCTCCTGGCAACCCCTCCGGGACTCTGTTTAGACTGATGCCAACTGGGACAGGCCCCAAGCAGAGTGTCAGGCCCTGCGTGGCAGGGCGACGCCAGCCATTAGTGGGGTGGCTGAGGTGGCCTGCGGAAGAGCTGGGGCCGAGCTTCGCACCTGGCCTGCCCCCCACTGCTTTTCCTGGCGGCGCTCTTAAGTGCTCCAGCAGTAGGGCGTGCCCTGGAGACAGATGGCAGGAGTGGCCAGAGGAACGGGAACAGTCGTCAGAACCTTCCCTGACATTCCCGTTTGTCCTCCCCATCTCAGCTACAGGCCCAAAAGTTGCGACTGGCCTACACGAGGAGCTCCCATTATGGCGGTTCTCTGCCCAATGTTAACCAGATTGGCTGTGGCCTGGCTGAGTTCCAGGTGAGTGGACTGCAGTCACAGGGACCCAGGCAACTTGCGACTTCCCCAGGTGACCTCCCTGTCTCTTTTGGCAGAGCCCCCTCCACTCGCCTCTGGATTCATCTCGGGGCACGCGGCACCACGGGCTGGTGGAACGGGTGCAGCGAGACCCCCGAAGGATGGTGTCCCCACTCCGCCGCTACCCCCGCCACATATCCTTCACGGAGGCTGTGGGGGGCCCCGGGGCGACGGGGTTCCTCGGGAACTCGTGGGAGGAAGGGACTCTGTGTGCGCTTCAGTCCCTCCATTCCCGGCCTCCCAGAAAAGCCACTGTCTGGCCCGTGTGTCGGCACCGGCTCCTTCGACGGGGAGACCTACGTCTCCTGCTGAAGGGCGTTTGGTTCCCTCTTCACGTTTTTCCTCCCCTTTCTGTTGGTAGCTTTCAGTCTCAGAGACTCTCATAGGCCTGTTTCTCACGTCCTGTCCGGTTATTCGCCCTCGTTTTTCCAACTCTACTGGGCCTGGTTCTCTTTTTCTCTTCCATTCTTTGGCCCTGTCGTTGCCCCTCGTGGAAGAGGAGGGAGGTACTTGCTTCTGGAAACAATTCATCCACCTCCTCCAGTGTTCTCCTCTTATCTGGTCTCTGTCCCCTCTGTGCCCTCCTCCCTTTCTCCTTAACTGCTGCTGGTGCTGCTCACGTCGACAGCTCTCCCTATAGTCCTGCCTACTTGTCTCCTCCCCCGGAGTCCGGCTGGCGGAGGTCAGTGTCTAGGGCAGACAGGGTCTCCTGTCCACTCCCTGACGTGTCTCTGGAGGGAGCTTGGGTTGGGGCCGGGCTTCGAACAGTGCCTCCTCCGTAATGCAGGGCTGGGCGGGGTGGGGGCAGGTGGGTCAGAGTCCAGTCTTGGCCCTGCTGACATTGGCAGCCGAGCCTCCCAGTCCAGCCAGCGCAGGACCAGTGGTAACGGTGGCTGACTGGGATGTGCGTGTCCGGGGAGGGAGGATGGCTGGCTCTCCACAGGAGTGGCTGCCAGGTGCAGCGTTCTGGCCCCAGGTTTCCGACCCTCCGCGGTCTGTGTCATCCTCCGTGCACAGTCGCTGGGCTCCAGGATGCCCATTCAGCTTATCCCGGCAGAGACCAGTTGAGTTTCCAGATCTCTCAGCTTGATCGTGGGAGGGGGGTCGGGTCACAGGGAGCAGAAGGACCAGAAAGGAGGCACGGCCCTGGGTGCTCGGCCCTGTCCATCTCCGCCTCAGCGGCCGGCGCTCTCTAGCCCCGTGCTGGCTTTCCTGCCTGTTGCTAGCCTTCCTCCTCCTGACCTTGTGTTTCCACCCCAGGACGATGCCCTGGGGCAATTTCCCTGCAGAGAAGGGACAGTTGTTTCGACTGCCATCTGCACTGAACAGGTGATGGCCCTGGCCTTCTCTGTGCCACATCTCTTATCTGCTGTTTCCGGGCCCTGCTCCCTTGCCCCACCCTGTCCCAGCCCAGCTAGCGTTGTCCCCTGCTGAGCAGGGCATGGGGACCAGGAACACCGTCACAGGTACGAGCTCACCTCTGCCCCCCCACCCCCACAGGACAAGTTCTGATTCTGCCCTTCACACCAGTGTGATG